TTTCATGTTTGAACCCAAAACTTTCTGTATGGGACCAGCTAGATGATGCAGTGGATAGAGTGTGGGCCCTGGAGTCAGGAGGACTGAAGTTCAAATCCAGTCTCAGCCCAGCCACTTGACTAGCTGTGTGACCTTGGCAAGTCATTTAACCCCATTGCCTAGCCAAAAAAACAAACATTCCTATGCTAGGAATGATTTTCTGCATCTGTTAAGATAAATATTAAAAAACCGTTCTAATTCTATGAAAATTAGAAAACTTGAGGATTTATAATAAAAGTTTCTGTAAAATCTTATTCATTTGGATTTCACTTGATGGGGATTTGTAGTAATTCAGGTGACATAGCTTAGTACTCAGTAAAGGAAAGTTTTGATAGACAATCTAAAGAGGATGGAAAGGAGAGTTAACCTTACGACACTAATAATATTCAAGAATAATGACAAATTACTTTTACTATATTCCCTAATATTGCACTTCTTCCAACATTTGATCATCCTATATTATTAGCCTAGTTACTGAATGTTTGAAAATGGCAAAAAAAAAAATCTCATTTCTTTAAAAACCATTTTGTAATTCACATGATCTCCCATTTTTAATCCTAATAGGATTTTATAAAACCATAAAGTCCCAAAGTGGGGAGGAAACTTCAGTACACACCTTAGCAGAAACTCCTTTATGACTCTCCTAACAAGGGATAATCTCCTTTCTGCTTGAAGACTTCCAGTCATTGGGGAACTATCTCCTGAGGCAACATGCTATACTTTTTGGAGAGCTCTAATTGTTATGACATTTTACCTTATATCAAATCTGCATTTCTACCACTTATGCTCATTATGCCTAGTTCTGCCCTCTGGGACTAATCAAAGGAAATCTAACATCTTTTCTATCATAACAGTTCTCAAGGGACATCAGTCTTGTCTTCTCTGGTATAGTGGAAAAGAGTACTGGATTTAGAGTCAAAGGACCTGGATTCAAATTATGGATCTGCTACTGCCCTTGTAATCTTGGACAAGTTATGTAACAGCCTTCCTTGACCTCAGTTTTCTCATCTGTAAAATGAGTGAGTTGGACTAGATGATCTCCAAGGTCCTTTGCAGCTCTAAATCTGAGCCTTTTCTCCAGTCTAAGCATGCATAACGTGGTTTCTGGTCCCCTCATCTTCCTGATAACCTTGCTCTATCTAGCTGGTCAGTATCCTTAGTGTTCTATATGGGATCTCACCACTATAAAGTGAAGTAAACCACTGCCCACCACCCCACTGCTTAACACTGTACTTCAGTTAATACAGCCTAAAATTGCTTTGGATTTTTTGGCTGCTGTAGTCACATGGTTGACTTATATCAAGACCATGGACCTCAAAGTCTTTTTCAAAGAATTAGCATCTAGTCATAATTCCTTCATCTTATATTTAAAGCAAATTTTTTTAACCCAGGTATGTCATAACATTTTTCTCCATCAATCTTAATTAATCTCACCTATTGTTCTAGCCTGACAAGATCTTTGTGAATCTTTATACATATATACTCTATAACTTTAACCAAGTCATTGATTAAAATCTTAAATTTTCTATACGTCAGTCTGATTAATTCAGGTCTTCCATGCAATGCTTCCTAATTGGCCCAGAATTTCCTTCTCTTAGAAAACTGTCAACCCCTATTAGGACATACCAACAGGACAGTGTATAAAAATTTACATCATAGCTGCTGTTTTTGTAGGTATGGCCAGCCACTTTTATGAGCTTTATAACCCCCTTCAGTTTCTAATAAGAAAAATAATTCTAATTCCTTGACTTTGTTCTGAGATTTAAGACTTAGAACTTGGGATATAAAGTACACCTGGACTTATCACTGATAATATTTTGTTTAAAAAAATGCCCTGTTTATGCTTTTGCAGTCTGCAGTAGACTTTTAGGGAGGACATAATTATATCTTGATTTTTATTTTTTTACTATTTTCTTAAACACTTGGGTTTGTGTCACATTAAATGAAATGTCTACAAAACAAAGAGTCTCAAATCCACAATAAAAATTATTTTACTTCTGGAAAGAAGAATGTGAAAGGGCTTCATTACACTGAAACTTGAGTGTTATAAATCATGAATCTCAGATCAGTTAAATTTGAGGAAACACAAGTACTGCAGGGTATTTGGAACAATTGTATTATTTGTTTTTTAAAGTAATTCAATAAAGTTTATAAAATGTTTCTTTGGGTTCTGGCTTCTTTAAAAAGCAATCTCATATTCTCTTTGCATATTAAGAATTGGTATGACCCTGAGTTATTTCATCCCACTCCACTTTAACAAGCTGTTTGACCATCAAAAGAGCTAGATTTGATTGGCATATGGGAAGAAACAAGGCTTGATTTAATGTTAACTTTTATTTACCTTTTTTTTTCAGTTAAACATTGATTTTCTCTCCTCCCCCTCACCACTGAAAAAAAAGAAAAACAAAACTCTCGTAATACATATGCATAGTCAAGCAAGACAAATTCTCATGTTTGTCATGTCTAAAAATATATATTTCATGCTCCACCCTTGGTCCATCAATCACCCTGGTCAGGAGATGGACTTCTGGAATTGTAGTTGATCCCTCAATTGATCAGAGTTCTTAGACTTTACTTCAGCTGAAGCATAGATTTTGTTCTAGTGCTTTATTTTAATTGTGCCAATCTATATTTTCAAGGGTGTGTCTTGTTAGCAACATGTTTTTGGATTCTGCTTTCTAATCCATTTTATGGGTGAATTTATCTGATTCAGTTGTGATCATTGTGTATTTCTCTCCCTCTTTGTTATCATATAGTTTCCTTTGTTTCCCAACCCCTCTTTATATGGAACAGGGTAGAGTGGTGTGTTCTTACATTGGCATCTCTATTTGCTGCAGTCAGCTTCTGCTCCCCTGCCTCTCTTCTGTTTCCCTCCCAGCGCCCAGTCACAGGTTCTTATCGTTTTTTCTTTTAAATCCCTCTTTCAGATTCCCCTTCCTAAAAAGTTTGTTTTGCTAACCTTGAAAGACTTGCATGAGCTGTTGCAAAGTGTACTGTGTACAAAGTAACAACATTGTAAGATGATCAGCAGTAAATGTCAATACAGTGATCCAAGACAACTCTGAAGGACTTATGATGAATGCTGTCCGTTCCCAGAGAAAGAATTGATGGTGTCTGAATGTAGATTGAAGCACTGTTTTTACTTTATTTTTCTTGAGTTTCTTTCCTTGTCTGTTTTCTTTCACAACACGACTACTATGAATGTTTTGAGTGACTACACATCTATGACCTAGATCAAATTTCTTGCCTTCTCACTGCAGCAGTAGGGTGGGGAGGGAGGAAGAATTTGGAACTTAGTAGTTTTAAAAATGAATGTTAAAAATTGTTTTTACATGTAACTGGGGAAAAATAAATACTAAATAAAAGCTTTTAAAAAGTTTGTTTGCTGAAGACTAACCCTCCCTTGATCTCCCCTCCTCTTTCCTTACCTTCCTCTCAAGTGAAATGTATTTCTGTACTCAACAGTGTGTGTATTCTTCTCTCCTTTGACCAGTTCAGAATAGAGGTTTCAAGTACACAGTAAATTTCCCCACCCTTTCTTCCTTGTTTGTACTAGCACACCCCAATTATGTAAAATAATTTTCCCCACCCTTTTTCTGCCCTCCCCCACCCAACATACTCCTTTCCCCCTCCATTTCCATTCTTCTTTTTAAGCTAGCAAATGACTCCTGAACCTTCTGTTTTATTAAGATGCCCTCTATGACTCCTAGATAACAGTGCAGAGGGGAGATATGTATTATTTCCCCATATTAAAATGTAAAGTTTATTCTTGTTTAGTCCCTTATGATTATTCACTCAAATTTACCTTTTTGTGTTTATCTTCACTCCTGTTGAGATCCCAACAGGGGGGTAAAATGAGTAAAACTAGAATCTTGGAATTGGAAAGGATCTTCCAGGCTGGTGAATCAGCCTGCTTCAAGTCTCTTGCCACTCTAATCCATTGTCCATCCAGCCACCAAACTGATTGCCTAAAGTGCAGGTCCAAACATGTCTCACATACTTTTTTTCAAGGCAGTTGGGGTTAAGTGACTTGCTCAGAGTCACACAGCTAGTACACATACTTTCTACTCAAATTCTAGTGGCTCTCTAGTATTCAAAGCCCTTAAAACCTAGTTTCCTCCTACCTCTACAGTCTTCTTACGCACCTTACCCCTGACACACACTCTTTGATCCAATGACAACATTGGCCTCCTGGTTGTTCCGCAAACAAGACACTCCATCTCTCAGCACTGGGCATTTTCTCTGGCTGTCCCCCATGCCTGGAATTCTGTGGATTCGCCTCCATTCTGCTAGCTTCTATGGATTCCTTCAAGTCTCAATTAAAGTCTCATCTTCTGTAAGAAGCCTTTTCTTCTCAATTATTTCCTATTTATCTTACATACTGTATGTTTGTATTTATTTACTTGTTTCTCCCATTATATTATGAGTTCCTTGAGGGCAAGGACTGCATCTTTTTGTATCCCCAGTGCTTAGCACAGTTCCTGGTATACAATAGGGGCTTAATGTTTATTGATTGATTCCTTCCTGCTGTATTACTCTCTCTAAATTACAAGTCATAACATTTTCCAATTAAATTCAACAAAATAAGTATGATATGCAAGGCACTAGGGACACAGGTGAAAAACACCATGAACTCATTGGAAGCAGGAACTATTCAATAACGGAATACATACACAACTATGGTAAAAAGCAAAATGTGATAAGAGCCAGGACAGAGTCAGAAAAAGTACTAAAAACATTTGAAGAGGAAAAAGTCATTTTCAGGTAAGGCATCCTAAGAAAAGTGGTAGCTGATGTCAGAGCCTTAAATGAAAATGTTTTTGATAGATAAGCAGAAATATAGTGGGAAATTTTTGTATATGGAGCCCTAGCAGTAGGATGGAATGAGGGAATAGAGTGGTACTACTAGCTGGTTTCTTAAGTCATAGAACTTACTTTTACAAATTTTATTTACACTAAAATGACACAAAAAAGCATATCAATTCATTTTAATCAAAATAATTTCATCATGTTACATCTGTTATAAAATAACTGTACAATCCATAGAAAACACACTTCCATTTTATGAAATTCAGTCATCATCTTCCTCTTCTTCATCACTAATCACATACTTCTTGTGTTTTTTATTAGCTTTGTCATCATCCTCTGCTTTCCTTTTTCCAGAAGTTTCACCTTCCTAAAGGGACACAAATAAAATTAAAGTTCAATTATGAACTGAGTTATTTCTGGTGAATTCCCCTTTGTTGTTTTGGCCCAGACCCTGTGTGAATCCACCCTCTACCAATGCAAATTGGCAGCTCATCCATGGATTATAACATAGCTGCCTGGCACACTCAGAGATTAAGTGACTTGCTGGTCTTCTGGGAGCAAGGGTGTGGAACTATGCAGATTTTACACCTTTTTTTTAATTCTGTGGAACGACGTTTTTTCCCCAAAATCTTTGTTATAAAGGATGGCCAATTCTGGAAATGTAGGTAATATGAAACTATATAAATCAATTAAAATTATTTTTTAAAGGGCATACTGGTCCCCTGATCACCAAAAAAATGAAAAAAGTGCCAATTTGGAAAACCTTCACTCGCAGAAGAAGCAAAGGTACTTTTGAGAGTTAATAATGAATTTTAAAGATCCCAAAGATAGAACTGCCAGATTAAAATCTGTTGTCTATACTTCCTTAACATATTTTAGAATGTAAAAAAAAAGATTTCAAAGCCTCTCTAGTATTCAGTTTTCAGACTAAATGATTTCTGAACACATGATAAATAGTTTCATTGCATAGGTCTGTACAGTTACAAACGATGCAGTATGATTGGGGAAATGCAATGTGCTATCCTATTAATTGCTACAGATATGTAAAAACAGAAGTTTGAGTAGACACCCATTACTTTAATAATTTAGAAGAAACTTGGAGAGTTTCCATTGAGTAATGAATATTTTCCAACCATAGGTGGAAACTTCTACTGTAAGGCAGGAACAGAAAAGAACAGCTATGGAAGGGACAAGTCCATGTCTGGTAATGTTTAAATCGGACACAAACCTAAAACAGGCATGTGCAGTCCTGGGTATAAGTTGGTGCCTTTTAGTTTCTGCCCCAGTTCTAAACTCAAATTTTTAATTTAACAAACTTTCTATCACCTATGCATAAGGCATTGTGCTAGGCCCTGGAATGACCAAGATGAAATAATCCATTCACTCAAATAATGTGAAATGCCTTAAATACAGGTTGCCCTTGTGTCCACCCCTAGAAGAGGGAGAACATGCTCAATTACATGACAGCAGCAGGCGAGGCCTTCCCTCTGAACACGCTCAGAATCAATGTTTCTACTTTATCATGTGTAGTTTAGTCTAAATCGTAATTTTGAATCCTTCATGTCCAGAACTGTGTCCTCAGTAAGTAAATGTCACCTATTTCTCATATTTCCAACAGAAATCTTAAGGCATGTCCCTTTACAAGCTCTACAAATAAGCCAGGCTTAATTAGTTGTAGAGCAAGAAAAGGAGGCAGGCCAGGTGTAGGGTCGAGACAGAGCTCCTGGAAACAATTGAGCAGAGTCAAGTCAAATGGGACCTTTGTTCAACTCTAACCCTGAATGTGTGTGACCAGGGATTAATCAAGTCAATTAAACTCTCTGAGCTTCCTCTCTAAAATGAGAATAACACCTGCAGTTCTAGTCTCCAGAGACTGGCCCAAGGATCAAATGAGTATTGATGGTGTCTGTAAGTTCCGAAGTGCTCAACCTTGTATTTGTGCTTCTTATTAGATAGTGCAGTCAGATGCCTAGGCCAGAGGCAGGAAGAGTATGGTACCACAGAAAGCCCTGGAACTGGAGTCATTCTCTACCTGGCTGAGCAGAGCCAGGCACTTAACTAATCTGGCCTTCAGTTTCTTCACTTATGGAATGAAGGGGATGACCTCTTCTTTCTAATGTACCTTCCAACTCAAAATCCTTATGTACTCACCATATGCAAGATGATTCTAAGAGGTAATCACAGCCCTAGTCCAATTTACAAACTAAAATGTTATAAGGAAAAAATGTCTTTTGTCACCTATTTATTCTGAGAAGAAAAATTACATACAGGCATTATCCCCCCCCTCCAATCTAATATCCTTAAGTATACCCTTAAATAAATTTAAGGGAAACAACTTTACAAGGGGAAGTTAAAATCATATTAGTAGTGTAAATAAAAAGGAGACCTACTTTTCTGGTTGATCAAAATTCCAACAAATAAATGCTTAATAGGTACAGTAGATGACACTCCTCCTTTCAGCTCCCTGTCCCCACTCCAAAGACAAGATTTTTCACCACGAAAATGAATGGGGAAAGGAAACAACTCCCTTACATCTCTTTTTGTGAAGAGGAAAGAGGTAAGTAATATTTTTGTTATGCAATGGTTTCATCACACCTTCCCGAACCTTCCCATTTTCCCCACACTCATCCCCACCTCCCAGCCTCTTCCCTCTTTGGTTTTTCCATTCACATATATTTCCAAAGCCCTGCCACCACTCTAGCCAAGTAAGAGATGGCCCAAGATATGTCCAACAACTATTTTATGATTAGACTCCCTGCTTTCTACCAGTAAGAGTACTTGCCACCATCTTGAATTACTAAACAGCAGGGATTCAAGTGACTCAAGGCAGGGTTTTGCTATTAAAGTCATGAAAAATGACTAACATAGTAATACGTTTTGCATGACTGAACACATTTAACCTATATCAAACTGCTTACTGTCTCAGTGAGGGAGAGAGAAAATTTGGAACTCAAAATTTTTTAGAAAGAATATTAGAAATTATCTTTACATGTAACTGGGGGAAAATAAAGTATGTTGAAAAAAAATTTTTAAAAAGAAATTGTACAATAGTACATATTCAGATAAAGGCCTAAGCTCCAAAGCGCAGGGGAAGGGGAAGGGTGGTCATGAAAAAGCCCCAGCCTTCTATTCCTGTCTTATAATCATACAAGAAATGAGCAGCCTTGGTACTACCATGAATACCTGTCCTTTAGGGTTTTGTTGAGTGTTCTGGGATATTGGGTGGGTCTGGTTTTACTGACAAGTGTGAGGCAAGTGGTGCCAAACACAGGGATTAGGACTCTGTGAACCCTGGCCGAGAGAACAGGATGTCCCACCGGGGGTGGCGGGGGGACACCTTAGCACAATTATTATTTTAAAGGGGGAAATAATTTTTGATGTATAGATTTTAATCCTATGAAGAATGTGAATCTACATAAAGGATTCTATATTAGGGATTCTACCATGAGTCCTAATTCTGCTGTTTGCCTAACAGAAGCAGGGATTCCTCACAGATTTCCTGTAACAACAGTAGGAGACTGACTAGAGAAGAGATTGGGGGTTTTCTCACACTTGGTCCTCTGGGTCTCCAAGGGACACACTTAGGCTTCTGCCAGGAGAATGATGCAGCTGGGAGGCACAGTGGATACAGTGCTGGTTCTGGATTCAGGAAGACCTGAGTTTAAATCTCACCTCAGACACTTATTGATATTTATTAGCTGTGTGGCACTGGGCAAGTCACTTAACATCTGCCTGCGTAAGTTTCTTCCTTAGGATAGCTATGAAGATCAAATGAGCTATTTGTAAAGAGATTCGCAAACGCTCTCTCTCACTCTTGATCTGTGTGTGTGTATATACATGTATGTGCATATATACCAACATATGTATATATGCACATATGTGCACACACATACATATATACACGTATATTTATAGTTGTTAGAATTATTAACAATGTTTACTGCACAACTTGAAATGGGGCAATAGTATATCTTATCAATATCAATACTTGAAAGTTTTCCTAATTGGATCCTCTTCCTGTTATGAGCCTCTGATGATCAAAGTATGTAAAATGAAGTGGGGGCTGTTTATTAAATAAGCTGCTTATTCATATAGTCAATCAATTGTTCTGAATACCTACTGTGGAAAAGGTAAGATTCATCTGAGTCTCAGTGAGATCCTCTGAGTTTGTGTTAGGTTCTTTCCACTCTCCCCATCCACCAATACAAGTATGGCTTAGGGTAACTTTAGGCAAGAGGGAGGCAGGCTGAGTCTTGAGAATTGTGAAGCAATGGATGGATGGATCAGTATGGATCAACCTGAGACTTTCCCTTTCCCGAGCATCTCCAGGGGAGATCCCTTTTCACCTACTACCCTTGAGATACCACAACCTAAACTATTCTCTCAAAGCTGCAGGCTTGTTTACAATGTCCTCTACCATAATAACCATCTACCAACCACGAAAAAGATAACCAGGAAAAAAAAAGAGTAGAGAACTTCTGTGGACAGAGGCCACATTAACTCTGCTGAACTAGATTTCAGGTATTGCTGAAGAACAGTTTAAGTTTCAACCTGTGGGCAAGATGTAGGTCTATGGGACTGAAGGAAATGGCTCTGCCTCCTATCAGAGAGCAGAAAGTAAAGGCAAGATATCAGATAGACTGACACACCTATCAAGAGAGACCTATAACTTGGCTATTACACAGACAGCTTGTTCCCCTAGACTATCAATGTAATCAAGCACTTGCATTTGTATGTTTAACTATTTGTACAGCAGACACTGGGGCGGGGCGGGGGGAGATATCAGGGGAAGGTAAAAATGACAAGTCATGAATCTTGGGGTCCAATCACTAATAAAAGAAATCCTCCCTGACCTCCCATATGGTGGCAGTGGAAAGCTACCCAACAGAACCCTGCCAGGTGGCTGCCTGCTTGTGTACTGGCCTGGATGATGCAGTTAGGGGGGAAGGAGGGCACAGTTTGCTGGCACTGAGTGTACCTATGTGACTCATTACCCACCTGCCATTGTTTCTTCCTGAACTGGGACAAGAACCATCTCTAAACAGGTAAAATGGCATTTTAGTTTAATTTTGGATGAAGTTTAAATATTTTCCAAAACCTTATATTCTTTACATACTATAACTGAATTTAAAAAGCTTTTAAATGTTAAAATGTAAATGTCCCTTATAGCACTAAAATGCCCAAAAACCTTTAAATGGTTTCTGGCACATGCAACCTTAAATCAGACACTTGGCATGTTAATTCTGAAAGAATGCCAGTCCCTAGTCCAAGTACAACCTGTTCTGAAAACATCACGGGTGCAAGGGCAGGATCTAGGAGGCAGTCAGGTTTACATGGATGCTGTTTGTACAGAAGTTAACCCTGGAAAGCCCAGCAATAGACAATCCTGAAACTTTGTTCTGGGCAAGTTACTGGCTGGGCTCTGCTGGTTTACCCCTGTCAGGAATGATTCTCATAGCTCCTTAAACTTGACTGCAAGAAGAGCCATATGCCTGCAGAAGCTCAGCTGCCCAATGACAAACATTATCTTTTTTGGCTAAGGAATGGGGTTAAGTGACTTGCCCAGAGTCACACAGCTAGTAAGTGTCAAGTGTCTGAGGCCGGATTTGAACTCAGGTCCTCCTGACTTCAGGGCCAGTGCTCTATTCACTGCACCACCTAGCTGCCCCTTAGGTTGAACTCTTTCAAAAGACCCCTCCTACCTTATGGAGTTTGGGTTATTAAAGTTTGCTGGAAGGTATCTATTCTATATATTATTGGATGCTCACATGCTAATTAAATTCACAAAGTAGCACAACTACAGTTGCTGTAGCTAACTACAGAGCTTGTTAAAGAAAATATGGCTACAAAATATACATACCTACAGAATATAAGCACTTAAATATGAGTGGAAAAAGAGTGACAATGCTCAAGCTGTTTCCCTTAAATTCTTATTTTGTCTTATAAAAAACCACAGCAAAATGACCCATTGGTGATTTCGAATGCCCTAAAAATAAGGGGTTTGGCTAAAAACTACCTTTCAATTTTAATTCACAGTTTTTGCCTGCCATGAACCAAACTGCATCTGTCTAGATGATGAATGCCCTGTTTGCCAACTGCTCAGCATACTGTAAATATGCCATTAGGATATTTCCTCATCCTGATGAAAAACAAATCTGTTCCAAGCCAATCCATCAATATCTGCCAAGATGTCACTTCTGAGTTCTTTGGAAACATTAAATTCTATAATTCATATCCCAAAAATAGGCAGGCTGGCTGTGGAGACTCTACACCACAAAGGAAATCTCTCAAAGTACATTTAACTGAGGGCCAAGCTGTGCACAACATTTTATAATTGAAAATAAGAATGGAAAAGAAAGGAACATGAACCAGGTAAACTAACTAGGCACATTTTATATATGTGTATTAGAACAGCATCCAAATGTGTACTGTAGAAAAAAAAGATGCTTACACTTACATTGTGCCTTTATAGTTTTAAAAGCATTTTCACATTATCTCATTTGATTCTTATGATAATCTCCTGTGGTAGAAACAGCAGGTGCCATCATAGCGCCACTTTACAGATCAGTAAACAGTTCAGACTGATTAAGTGATTTGTGCCTTGAACCCAAGCCCTTGGACTCCTAGGCCAGTGCCCTTCCATCCTACCATACCACCTGCCTCTAGCTTGCCTCAGGTCAAATGAGATAAGATCGCTTAAAAGGCTCTTAGTACGGTGGCCTGGCACACAGTAGGTGCCATATAAAGGCTTATTCCCTTCCCTTCATGTCCTGCAGCAGCTGTTGACCCATGTGTATGAAAACATCGTTCAACCAGAATTGTAGTATTACGTGAGTATGGATAAAAAATGCTAATACTGACAGAGGAAACATGCCTGGAAATCATTTAAAATTTGTGAGAAAATAACCTCGAGACATTAGAAGTGCCCAAAATGCAGCAAAAAGAATAAAGGAAATAAAGGAATACCAAGGTTTGATATATTTCATTAACAGTCACATTATAACAACATTTTATGCTTTTTTTGTGATATGTGAGTGAGGGACGTTCTTTCTGCTGTGTATATTACATCGCATGGTAGTTATAGCCTATTAGTTTTAATTAAAAAAAAAGTTATCACATTTTGAAAGGGGTCTATGGGGGAAGAGGGAGAAGTGAATAAGCATTTATACAGCACCTACTATGGGCCAGGCACTGTGATAAACACTTAACAGATATTCTCATTTGATCCTTACAACAACACTGATGGGTCCTATTATTATCCCCATCTTACAGTTGAAGAAACTGAGGCAAGCAGAGGTTTAAGTGACTTGCCCAGGGTCACACAGCTACTAAAATGTCTGAGGCCAGGTCTGAACTATTGTCTTCCTGACTCCAGGCCCAATGCTCCAGCCATTCATTGTGCCACCTAGCTGCCTCTGTGAAGCAAATGTTTAAATTATCAGAAACTTGTGATAAATACAACCAATCAGCCCTGTTCACCAAAGGATTTATAATTTTTCACTGGAATAAATGAGCCTTTAAATCTTTGTGTCTGTTATGTTATAATCAGCTAACTGATCGGGTAATAAAAATTAAGAGTTAAAAACTACTTCCACAAATTTGTTTTGGTCTGAACTTGTGATTTCATCAGCATTAAGAACTCTTTGTATGGAAACATCCCGTGACTTGTGGTGGTACCTGAGGCAAAGAGAAGTTAAATGACTCAGCCCCAGAGTTTTTCTGATGACAAGGCCTCTATCCACTACACCGTGTGGTCTCTCATTTTTACTATTAACCCAGAATAAATCCTCAGCCACCACTACTTACACATGAACAAGGTGAACACACATCTTACCTCATCGCTGGTCAGTTTCTTTGCTTTGAGTAATCGTTGTGCTCTGTCATCATCGGACCCCTCATCACTATCAGAAGAATAGATCCTAGCTCGTTCCTCTGAAAACAAAAGTGAAGTCACTGAAAACGTCTAATTTATCTTGGAAGGGAAAGCTAGAAACAATTCATCCGAGTAAGATCTGGAGGTTGTAGGGGACATCAAGCCCGATGAGTCAACAGCGTGATATGGCATCCAAAAGAAGCTAGTGAAATCTTGGACAGCACCGAGAAGCACAGCTTCTAGGAAGAAGGAGGAATTAGCCACTCTCTACTCTGCCTTGGCCAGACCATATCTGTAATGTGGCATTCAGTTCTAAGCACACCATTTTAGGAAGGACAACAATAAAACTGGAGAGCATGCAGAGAAGGATGGTGACCACCATGGTGAAGGAGCTTCAGCTCATCACATAGAGTAACCAATGGAGAGTTTACCCTGGAGAAGAGAAGAATTAAGTAGGAGATGGTCGCTTTCCAATTGAAGAGATGTTGGAGGCCTGGGTGACTCGGAGGATGATGGGGCTGTAGACAAGGAAGTTTGGAACAAGGGAGGATTTGGGTGGGAAAATGAGTTCTGTTTTGTACATGTAAAGTTTAAGATGTCTATGGGACATCTGCTTCAAGATGTCCAACAGGCAGTTAAAAATACAAGACAGGAGGTCAGGAGAGACACTGGGGCAAACAGATCTGAGAATCATCCTCATAGACATAGCTGAATCCCCAGCTGGTGAATCTCTCCCATGCCTCACAAAATTACTTTGTATTTACTTATCAGTGGACTTGTCGTTTCCTCCAACAGAATGAAAAACATCAGGGCAAGGACTCTCATTTAGTATTTGTATTCCTGGCGCCCAATACAGTGCATGGCACTTGGCGGGCTTAAAGAATACTTAAAAATTTCAATCCATTTAATTTCATCTAAAAAATAAAAACTTACCTCTTATGCCACCTTTATATCTATTTTTAATAGCTGCCAAGCTAATTGACTCTTCCCCCTCATCCTCTTCATCATAGCGATCTGGTTCTAAATAGTTTGCACTAAGTCCTCGCTGATGTTGTTTCTCTCTCATTCTGCGCTGCTGAGACTCTCTGCGAATGGAAGCTCTTAACCGTTCCTCCTCTTTCTGTCAAGGAAATCGACCACAGTGAGCTGACTCAATACAGTACAAATAATTAGCTTCACTGATTTCTGAGCTCTTAAAAGGCCTTTTTTTCTTGAGATTACTAAGCCATTTTTCTGTTCATTAAGCCAAATACCAATGCTATTTTTCTTTAGTTATGGAAGTAAGGGAAATGTAAAGAGGTAAGATGAAACATATTCCTCATCTAGACTGGAAAGAACCTACAGAGCAATATTCTTTAGCAGATGCAGATTGCATTGGAGCTTCTAGTTATATCCCAAATTATGGCTACAAAGACGCTGTGAAGACGCCCATACACAAAAGATTCCTGAGGCTTGCTTGGTGGAGCAGAGAAGGTTATTTTTGGCCACCCTGGAGTACTGGATACAGATTTATCTATCTAGACACTATAAACTGATCACAAGTCTTAGGAGAGTTATGTCTGCTTCCTTCAAGTCACAGACCTTATCACAGCTAAAGTGCACTGGTCATGGGAAACATAGGTAGGTACTGAACTACAATATGGAGACTTAATTTCACTTCATTAGTAGTTGCAGTGGCTGAATTCCTGTGAACTAAGACATATCCAATGGTGTTGATTTCTCCATAGCATTTCTCTGCCCTTCTCACCTCAGTGTGAGCCATTTTATATAAGTACAAGTTCATAACATTAAAGTCCATGCATTTTTTTTAATTTAGCAAAATTTAGTCGTACTAAAAACTTTTTTTTAAAAATCACATCCCAGGGGCAGCTAGGTGGCACAGTGGATAGGGTACTGGCCCTGGAGTCAGGAGGACTTGAGTTCAAATGTGACCTCAGACACATAACACTTACTAGCTGTGTGACTGAGCAAGTCACTTAATCCCAACTGCCTCAAAAAAAAAAAAACCATGTCCCAACTGCAAGAGCTGGGGACAGACTAGCTAGAGGCCAGTTTAACTATAAAAATCTCCACTGAAGCTACTCTGAAAAATAAGTGAAAGAAACTCCCAAGCTAATAATACGCCATTCACTTTTAAGGAGATCCCTACTAGACTCTCCCACCACTCCTGCATGGTTTTTGTCCTCCTCTCAGGTGGTTACAAAGAACAACTCGGGATTTTATGGCTTTTTCCAGATAAGTAAATATCACAGATTCATGTGTTGATTTCACAGTGGCACTATGGCAATACCTAGCTTTGCTGAACCCACTTCTGAGGACAAGAAGGCAGGTTTCCAGAGGGTAAAATGACAGGGTTGGCAGAAAGAGATACAACCAGCAAACTAAGCTGACAATAAAACTGGAGGGCAGGGTGCCATAGAACCTGGCTGACTCCTACCCTCTTCTTCTTCCTGTAACCGTCTTTCCCAAAAAAGGGAAAGAAGCTATATAGGAAATATGGCTCAAAAATGAATGACAAGCACACTTGTCAGAGACAGGGGGTAAGAAAGAAGACTGAAAACACGAATGTCTATAACACTTATTTTGTTTATCAGGAAATATAAGTTATCAGCACAATACCACTCAACTGTCTCTCGGAGGCACCTTGCCAGACAATTCATGCCCTCATTTATGAATTCCACAAATTTCAAATTCTGAAAAGTATACCATCATAAATTAACCTAATACATTCCAACCACCAACTGGTAAGTCCTATTCTGATCTTGATCTACTTATCAGTCCACCTGTAGTTTCAATTCTGTCTCATCCTATACCTAATGAGACTCTCTACCATTTTTTAATTTATTAGTATCTTCTGATTTTATGTCACCATTTCCAAATACCTCTCTCACACACTACCCCCCCACAACCATACCTAGTCACAAAGAAACAAAAAAGATTTTTAAAAAGTAGTTCAGCAAAACCAATCAACAGCAACAATGTGAAAGTGTAAGCCATCCCACACCCCTAGTACCCCATCTCAAACAGAATCTGTAATATTTCACACCCTTCTACAAAGAAAAGAAGAGCATTTTCTCAATTCTTCTCCAGGAATACTTATCATTTCAATCCAACTTTAGAATAAAGTTCTAAACTGAATCTAAATGGTTATTGAAATGTCTTTTCAACCACAGCTTAAAACAAGCAACTGAAAAACTGCTGAAATACCTAGATGAAAACCTGAATCAAACTTTTAAAAAAAAAGTACCTTGAGTTCTACTTTGCTACTATCATCAATGTTGTCATTATGACCACCCTTTAGTCTCATCCTATGCTTAGGGATTTCTGATCATATGAGCAGGTAATAATTATAACATCAGCCAACTAAAGAGCAGGTAAACAAAAATGATACTCTTAACGGACAAAATCATAGGACAAACCTAAGCCAAAAATACCTTAATCATTTCTGTGCGCTGGCATTCTGGATCGCGACCAGCCATGGGTAAGATTCTAATTTTCTGTGTCTTTGAACATCTATCAGCAAGTGACAGGGTCATCTTCCTGTGTGTGGCACTGTCTGTAGAGTGAGGTCTGTCAAAAAATGAGCAAAAATCTATTACTGTTTAACAAATACCTTTGAAAGCTAATCATAATACGACATGAACATGTACATATTTATAAGAATTAACAAGCAACATATGCTACATCCTTTAAGTCTGAATAAAGGAGCTATTTCTAAGCCTTTTTTAATTGTCTAATATACTCATGAACGTCTACATCTGTTGTGGCCCTCAAGGTGACGGGGGAAGAGAGGAAGGGCTTCTGTTCTATATTTCCTAATAACCACTGATTAGAGGAAGTAAAGTGAAGGAATTCAAGGAAAGGGAGGCATAGAGAAGTCGAGCTTTTTTTTTTTTTACAAAGTGTGTCCAACTATGATACTCAAGGTGGAAAAAAAAGTGAAAAATAACAAAGCCAGCTCGGGTGCTAGAGGACCGAGATGAGGAAGCATAGACTTTGTCTGCAACTACATTAATTAGTTCATTTCAGAAGTCCTAAGAAATTAGTTGCAAAGTTCAGGAAGAAGGTCTTCTTAAGAAAGCATGACACAGTGAAAAGAAAAACAGTGTAGGAATCAGAAACCTCAGCTGGAATCTCAGCAGCACACTAACTTGTGTGACAACCATGGATAACTCACTTCCCCTCTGAGGCTTAATCACCTATTCAAAAATTCAACAATTTGTTAAACTCCTACCATGTGGCACATACTATGTTAGGGATCCAGTACAGAAAGATAAAAATGGCAGACCTAACCATCAAGGAGAATATATCCTAAATATACAGGCTTCATAAGACTTGGCAACTTATTAGATGAAAGAAGTTAAGGATAGAAAAAAGTCAAAGACAAAGCTAAGGTTTTAAGCCTAATGATTAGTAGAATATCATTATCAACATTCTATTAATAACATGATGACAATAATAATACTAGCTACCAAGTGGAGTGGACAGAGAGCCCGGTGTTGCAGCCAGGAAGACCCAGGGTTCGGTTCCTCCTCTGATACAAACTGGCTACATGCAAAAAGTAAGTTACAGAGTAGTTGTCCATCTGTACTGGTGGAAGAAATTCCTTAACTAGGAATTTCCTATACCAATAAAGTCACAAACCTGGATTAAATAAACTACAGTTTATTTAACTACAGTAAGAGCTGGTAATATTTTTAGAACGCATAGGACATGATATACTTTGACAAAGGGAATAAAACAGCATAGAACAGAGGTGTCAAACTTAAGTGGGAAAGTGTTTAACAAAATAAATAAATATACAATACAATACAATACAGATAATGTTAATTTGTGGTTTTCTAAGTCAGTGTGGGCCAGCAGAAATCCATTTCTATTTGAATTTGACATCACTGACATAGACTACTTCTAGAAGTTGACAAATAAATGAGAAAGGTGTAAGACAATAATTTGAATGGATAACAGAGGAAATACTTGAAAATACCTGAAAGTATATTTGTAATAAGTGGGTAGATGATTAAAAAGATAAACTCCCACAGAAAAGAGAATATAAAATAAGGGAGCTGGACTGTATCACATCTACTAGATTTAATATTCTATTCTATCAGCTATCATACTATTTTATGACCTAGGCAAACTTGTTTGCCATGATACAAAAATGAGGACGTCATACTATATGTGAGTAACTCAACACAAAAGATAAGAAATATTATGCCAAGTATTATGTTCTCCTATGTGAGCCAAACAAGCATCTATATGCCTTAAAGTACTGTATAATAAATGTTAGTTATTAATGCCACAAGAAATTCCTTTTCTTAATATATTTTACCATTTCACAGTCCTGTCAGGCAACTGATGTCACAACGTAACTGAACATTAAGAACTAGACCTGTGATTTCAGTGAAACTCAGAACTTTCCTCAATACAAATTAGCACCTTCTCTGAAATTTTTAGTCTTAGGAATTGCCTAGAGCTGAGGTGTCAGCACCAATCAGATATAAATGTAACTGGGAAATATTTAACAAACTAAAAAAAAAACACAAAACAAACAATTGAATTTAATATCACTGGCCTAGAGCAGGGGTGGGGAACCTGCTGCCTCAAGGCCACATGTGGCTCTCTAGGTCCTCAAGTGAGGCCTTCTGAATCCAAACTTCACAGAACAAATTCCTTTAATAAAACAATTTGTTCTGTAAAACTTGGACTCAATCAAAAGGCCTCACCCAAGGACCTCGAAGGCCACAGGTTCGCCACTCCTGGCTTAGAGCATTGAGAGGTTAAGTACTTCTACAGGGTCCCACACGATCATGTACCAGAGGTAAGGCCCTGGTTCAAGCCCATCTGGCTTTGTGACTGGCTCTCTCTATCCAATATAATACCACAATGTTTCTCAACTGAACAGAATTATCTTTAGGAAATTCAATATTCAAGAATTTCTTATCTCCAGGAGCAGGGAACAAGAACCTATCATTTGGGGGGCAGCTATATGGCATAGTGGATAGAGCATCAGCCCTGGAGTTAGGAGGACCTGAGTTCAAATTCCACCTCAGACACATACTAGCTGTGTGACCCTGGACAAGTCACTTAACCCTGATTGCCTCCCTTCCCCCCCCAACCAATGCACTGCTAGAAATCACATTCCTAGATTTGAAGATTAAATAGGTCATTCCCTGCATCCACAGAACAAAAACATGTTTTTTGAAGCAAGTAAGTGAAGAAGGAGCATACTATATTATACGTATATATCCTCTGTTCCCTCTTTCCTTTTTCTCTTATTTAGGGTTTCTGTGTATAGTTTATGAGTTGAAGGCATATTTTGTTCAGGGAGCGAAGGTGCAGCAGGATGAGTGGAAGTGAAGGGTGAATACTCTAGTCAAGGGAAAAAACTAAAGAGTTCAGCTTTAGCGCAGCTCTCCCCTTACCAACCACAACATAAATAAGAATCAAGTTGTTTTATTAGAGATCAAATGTTACATGGATAGCAACCAAAGAAAGCATCTATGAACAGTATTATTGATTATGTAACAATGTCACTGGGTCAGCAGCATACTGCCATGGGCCACCTGACAGGATAAAGACTGTGCTATATAAAGGGCGTATACATATTTAGTGGGTACATTTTGTAAAAGAAACTCACTGAATATACTGCCACAGATATAAATTCTGCTTTATAAATAAATTCAAAATAAAATGAAAAATTAATGAAAAGGAGAGGTAGGATTCACAAAACTTATTTCCATCTTTAAGGCTGCTCCAATTTATTTTAAGCCTCAGGGCATACACTAATTTGAATGGCTCCTTTTTTTGTGGTACACGCACATGGTACATGCACACGCACATATGCCTGCTGCCCAAGCGAGTGTCACTTTACTGGCATGACTTGAATATTATGTACATATATGGCAATGAAGAAGGGAGAGTGGGTTCTATTGCTACACAGCTCCAGCAAACTCTGAGGAAGGTTTCTCCCTTGCTGCCATTCATTACCCAAGAAAGCCACTGGACCAACACCACAGTGGTAAGAAGAGGCACCAATCAGGGTTTTCGGAGGCAGCAGACAGTGACTGCCAGCACCATTAGGGACATTTAACCCACACTGGAAACCACTGCTACCTTGGGAAATGCTCCAAAACTGTCAATTTCAGTAGCAGTCTAAACATAACACACACAAACACTTTCAAATGGACAGCTATGTGACTCCAGACTTAAAGAGTACAGACAGCCACAGACCTCTAGGTAAAGTGATATTTACATAATGAGGCCGATGCGGGGAAGGAGGGAGGGAGCCAGGAAGAGGTCCATGTGCCCACAAAAGGAGGGGGCTGGCGGCCGGCACACAGTTCAAGGATATGTGTGGGCCAGGCATAGAGAAGCAAGAGCAGGAGGAGGAACACACAGAGGCCAGAGCCAGCCACGTGGAGGCCTGGCCGAAACGGAGAGGAAGAACACGTGCGGGGCAGACACACGGGGGCTGGAGACAGATAAAAAAACAGGAGACGACGAGAAACATGCAAGGGCCAGGGACAGACATGTGGTACCAAAGTGGATGGATGGAGGACAGACATACAGAGGCTAGACCAAATGTCTCCTCTGCTCCTGAGCACCAGGCACTGCTAGAAATGAAACCATGCAGTATCCACTGCATATTCATGCTTTCTAAAATAAATGGTTCCTGGCTAATCTAGCTAATCATTTTATTCATCTATAATTGACTCCCTAAGTGTATTCCCTAAGACTGACTGGTTATTCAAAAGCTCTCTCATGACCCCATCTCCATCCATAGAAGCAATGCCCCTTTCTCAGAACACGGTTCTTACTAAAGATCAAGGCCATACATAGCGAGCTCTCTCATCTTTCATCTTCCACATCTCAGATCTCTCTCTGTCCCCACCTATACTATCAGCTTTTGCTCTATCTCCGAGTCTTCCCCCTTGCCAAAGATAAACCCTCCACTCGTCAGATGCCCTTGAGCCTATCTTTCCCCATCTCTTCAGAAAGCATGCTCAATAGGCTTTTCTCTCATCTCCAATTTATCATTAGATACTGGTTCCTTCCAAGCAACTTATACAAATCATCAGGTTTTCCCTAGCCTATAAAAACAGCCCCAACAACCCCAAAACCATTGTCCTCTAACCTCTTAGAAAGAGTAGACTATACTACCTGCTTCACTCACTGAGTTATCAGCCTCTTCTAATATGGCTTCCAATCGCACCCAACTGAAACTACTCTGCCCAAGACCACTGAGGACATTTCCTCCCTTGATGTCTGTGCCACTGGGCTCTCCTGATTCTCCTTCTTTCTGGCAGCTTCTTCTCAGGATCTTTCACTAGTTCATCTTCCTCTTCTTGCCATGTGGGTGTGCCCCATATTCCTGTCCTCAGCCCTCTCCCTACATTTTCTCCCTTGATGATATATCCTATGCATCCCCATAACTGCTATGATCACATCTGTACAGATGACTCCAAAATCTATAAATCTAATACCCATCTCTAACCTGAGTTTCAGTGTCACATCTCCATCTACCTGTTAGACCTCTCTATGTGCACATCCTGTTGGCTTGCACAGATAATCACTCGTCAAATCCTGTCACTCAAAGCACCATATCCTCCTCTCCTAATTCCCTCTGCTGCTACTGTAATTCAGATCTCTCTTCACTCTTTTTCCAGTCCAGATTATTCTTCACACAGCTGCCAGTCACTGTCCAAATGCAAGTCAAACCATGCACACACTCCCACTCCAAAAACTTTCAAGAGACCACTATTCCTAACAGGTGAAGATACCAACTCTTTATCCTAGTAGTTCAGACCCTCACAATCTGACTCCAACCTATCATTTCAATCTACTGTCCTTTAAGCATGCCACACTTTAGCCAAGCTAAATAACTATGACTTTCTCAATCCTATCCAGACCATTCCTGACTCTGCCTACTTGTACAGGCCACTCCCCATGCCTAGAATGCACACCTTCAGCATTTCTGCAGAAGGCTCAGATCAAGTACCGCCTCCTCTAAGAAGGATCTTCCCTGATCCCCCACATGTAAATTCCTTTACCCTCAAATTTTCTTAATATACTCATCTGGAGCTCTCCTTTACCCTCATGATAGCCTATCTTGTTTTAGATTTATACGATAGTTATATCCCCAAAATAAAATGTTTGCACCTTGGGTGCAAAGCACCTGCATGGTGTCTCATACTTAACAGGCACATAATAAATCTTTCTTGTTTGAGTTGTTGAAGTAAAACCAGAGAAACCACTAGCTATCTTCCACATTCCTCCAGGAACAGTGCAAGGTACTGAGAAAACCCTCAGGAAGATTACATTCTATCAGGGGAGACAATATGTACGTATATACAAAACACATTCCACATAGATAAGGCTGGGGTGATCAGAAAAGGCTTGTTTTAGAAAGTGGCACTTGAACTGAGTTCTGAAGGAAGTTAATAACTCTAAAAGGCAGAAATGAGAAAGGAGGGTACTCCAGGCATGAAGGACAACCTGTGCAAAGGCACAGAGACGGAAGATAAACAGCAAGAGGGCTGGTTTGGCTAGATTTGAGAGAGTGTGAGGGGAGCAATGCATAATAAACCTCAAAAGTGGGTTTGAGCCAAATTTACATGCCAAAAAGGGGAGTCTGTATTTGATCCCTGAAGTAATAGAAATTCACTGAGGTTTATTAAGCAGGAGAGTAATGAGGTCAACCCTGTGTTTTAGGAACTGCTGCAGCTTGGTGGAGGCTGGACTGGAGGGAGCAACTTGAAGCAGGAAAGAGTCCAGGCCACAGGTGGTGGCCATGTGAATAGAGAGAAGAGACAGAAAGAAGAGATGTTTTTGAAGCATACCTGAAAAGATTTGGCAAATAACTAGCTATATGGGATAAGGAAGAGGGAAAAGACAACTTTGAGTTGCTAACCTGACTGACCACAAGAATGGTGGTACCCCTGGACAGAAAGAGGTCAAGTATGGGAAAGGGGTGGTTATAGTTTTGGAGATGTTGTGTTTAAGATTATAGGACACTCAGTTAATAATATCCAATATGATGGTAGTTGGTGATGTACTAAAGCTCAGATAAGAGACTAGGGCTGGATATCTAGATCTGTGAGTCATCTTCATAGAGATAATAATTAAAGCTATGAAAGCTAATGAGATCAACAAGGAACAGAATATATAGAAAGAGGAGAAAAAGGCCCAGGACAGAGCCTTATGGTACACTCAAAGTAAAGAGGCTAAATGTATACGATGATCCAGCAAAGGAAAAAAAGGAATGGTCAAATAGATAGGAGAACCAAGGCAGAAGGGTGTCATGAAACCCCCAAAAAGAAATAATACCCAGAAGGAGAGGGTGATCAATAGTGTCAAATGTTGCAAAGAGGGAAGAAGGATAAAGATTGAGAGATGGTCATCAGATCACTGATGTATGAAAAAGACCTGAACGGTTTGGGTTGATTGCCAACTCAATATGAGGAGTAGAGCACACAAAATAAGAGAAGTAATTATTCTATTATATTCCATACTTTCCATAGCATATCCAGAAAATCCTGTTCTTATCTAGGGCCTACTTTTTAAGGAGGTGTTGATAAAGTGGGGGAGGTTATGGAAAATGTCATACTGGGAACAGGTGAAGAAAATGATGATGTTTAGCTTGGAAAAGAGAAGACTTAAGAGGAACACAACAGCTGACTTCAAACACCTGCAGCACTACATCAGGGAATATGTTTTACTACAGGACTTCCCAAAGGTGAAGCCAAGATGGCAGCTAAGAGGCAGCAATCCAGTTGAACTCTCTCAACATTTCCCTCCAAACAAGTTTAAAATAATGCCTCAAATCAAATTTTGGAGAGGCAGAGCCAACAAAAAGTTAGGGTAAGACATTTTTTTCAGGCCTGAGAAAATTTAGGAGTTCCACAGGAGAGGAGACCTGTCTGGAGCACACAATTAATGAATGGTTGAATAAGTTGCAACATACAATTGTGATGGAATACTGCTGTGCTACAAGAAATGATGAGCAGCATGCTTTCAGAAACCCAGGCACTGAACTGACGCAAAATGAGAACACTGTAACAGCAATATTACATGATGATCAATTGTGAATCATTTAGTTATTCTCAGCAATGCACAATCTAAGGCAGTTCTGAGGGACTTATGATGAAAAAATGATAACCACCTCTAAAAAAAGAACTGACAGAGTCTGAATGCAGATTGAAGCATTTAAAATTTTTTCTTATCATTCTTGCTTTTTTTGGTCTGTATTTTCTTTTCTCACATGGCTAATATGAAAATGTTTTGCAGGACTGCACATGTACAATCTATATCAAATTGCTTGCCTTCTCAAGGAGCAGACAGAGAAGGGAGGGAGGGAGAGAATATGGAACTCAATTTTTTTAAATGAATGTTAAAAATTTTTGTTTACACGTAATTGAGGGGAAAAAATTAAAAATTAAAAAAAAAGAAATGACACAGGTGGTAGTTTTAGAAAAACATGGCAAAACCTATATGAATTGATGCAAAGTGAAGTACGAACTGGGAGACAGTTGTGCATAACAGCAATGCTATAATGATGATCAACTGGCTACTCTGCTCAATACAATGATCCAAGACAATTCCAAAGGACTCACTATGATATCTATGTCCATAGAGACAAGTGATGAACTATGAATGCACACTGACGTGCCATTTTTTCCACTTTTCTTTTGCTTTTTTCCCCCCAATATGGTTACTATGGAAATGTTTTTCGTGATTTCACATGTATAGTTGATATCATATTGCTTGCATTCTCAGTACGTGAAGGGGAGGGGCAGTAAGAATTTAGAACTCAAAATTTAAAAAGAAAAGAATGTTTAAAATAAATAATAAAAATGTTAAAGCATTATTATATATAGCTACAGAAAGCTAAGTTAGGAGCAAACTGATGAAAGATTCTAACAAAGTTTGGTTAAATATATCAATCAATCAACATGTATTTATTAAGTACCTGCAATGTCCTGGATTCCATGCTAGGCATTGGAGATGAAAATATAACAAATGAAATTATCTCTATGCTTATATGAGGAATATGAGAAATAGGGAAGCGTTCATATATAAGTATATATAGACCAAAAAAGTATATGTTTGTGTGTACATACACACATATGTATATACACACACATTAACATATACACACTATATGGACAATAAGTGTGTATGTATGTGTGTGTATACACAAATATATATACATATATATATATATACAAAATAGAATAAATCTAAAGAGAACAAAGTAAATAAGTATAATGTAGTTAAATAAAAGGTAGTTGGAGAGGAAGAACAGTAGCAGTTGAAGGGCTGAGGGTTGAAGGAAAAGAGAAGCTCTATGAAGCAGAGGTGTGGAGGGAGTACATTCTTGGTCTGGGGGATGGCCAATACAAAAGGATGAATGTCAACAGAAAGCCAGCTTAGTATGATTGGAGAGATATTTTGGGACCAGGTTTTGAAGGGATTTATAGTTAAAAAGAAGCATTTATATTCGTTGCTGGAGGCAATAAGGAACCACTGTAGCTGAGTGGGGGGGGGTGTCACGCAGACAGAGGTGAGCAAAATCACTCTGGCAGCCACACATACAATGGTCAGAACAGGGAGAATCTTGAAGTAGGGAGACCAATGAAGAAGATATTGAGATAATCTAGGCAAGATGCTATTGAACTAAGGTGGCAGATGAACAGGGAGAAGGAGTGAGGTAGCAGAGATGTTGTAGAGAGAAAAACAGTAAGATTTGGGAACTGACTGGATAGGTAGGGTGAAGGGGAGTGAAGAGCGAAGGAAATTCCCAAGGTTACAAAGGTTAATGTACTAGTAATCTGGATATTTAATGAGTCAGGAAACATTCTTCCTTCCTAGAAGAGAGACTGAAAGGCTTCAGCAAAAATAAGGAAGTCTGGGAAGAGAAGAGTGTTGAGGAGAAAGGTAATGAGCTCAGTTTTTTGAATTTGAGATATCGCTGGGACATTTAAGTCTGAAATATCCAACAGGCAATTAGTAATGGAGTACTGAAACTCAAAAGAAAGAATGGGACTGGATATATACATCTGTGAATCGTTTACATAGAGACAGAGTTAATCTCATGGCAGCTGACAGGTTACCAAGAGTGTAGAGTTAGAAAAGAGCCTGGGAAAACATTGGGGAACACCTACTATTACGGGGAATAATATGGTTAATGAGCTAGCAAAGCAGACTAAGGAGTGGTTAAGAAGTAGGAAAAAATAAGTGTCATGAGAACTCAGAGGGGAAAGAACATCCAGGAAAGGGTGGTCAACAGTGTCATATGCAGGAGATGTATCAGTCAAGAAGGATTAAGACTGAGAAAAGACCATCTAAATTGGTAGTTCAGAGATCACTGGTAATTTATTAATATTTACCTGAAAGTTAGTTTTGTCTTGAAAACAGCTTGTCCCTGAAGACCAGTTCCTTGTCTTATAAACAGATGATTATGATCCCCTTGTAATGGTGCTTTGTAGACATCAAAAACTTCATTACCTAAATGAAGTGACATGCTTAAGAAGGAAAAAAAAAACTTAGCACGTTAGCAATGTATGGATATTTAAGAAGTCATACAACTTTCTTTCCCCTCATTTTTTCATTTAAAACATTAAAAAGTAATTGATTCTAATGAAAATTAACCTTCCTTCACATTACAGGTGGGAGATTCTTATATACACAGGGTACTGAATATTCTGTCAGACTCAGCTGATACGTCGGTTGGTTTTACTGAAATGTTTTGGAGGGATACATTCAGAAATGAATGTGATGTAAAGACAACAGGTAGTCATAAAAATCTTTTAAGGGAACAATACTACCACTAGCAACAAATAATTCAAAATAAAACAAAAACAGAAATGAAAATAGATGGTTCAAAAAATTGACCTACTGCAGTGAAATACACAAAGTTAAAATAAAATCTATCCTTTCAATTAGAACACAACTGACCTAAAATTTTTCTAAGACCGTTAATAAACCAATACCAACAGTTTCCAAAAATAGTAAACTGCAATTATCCTCCATCCTCATCTGCTGTAGCCAATAGGGAAGGCAACGTTTTATTGCCATCGTAATCAGAGATGTATCATATCTTTTATTGCCATCTTTATTAGATAACAAACTCACCCTCCTCTCCACTTACTTTTACAATGTCCTATGAAAAACTAGAGATCCAGGAGGTGAGCAATTTCTTGGTTAATCTGGTTAAAGTGCCTATTCAAAGGTCCTAATCCATCCAACATCTCAAACCTCTCAGACCACCCCCCTGCATATTTTAAAACTTTTCTTTCATTTTATGAAAACCAGAATGTTAATTTCAACTAACCTTCCATCTGACCACTTAACTATTCGAGCATTACTTTCACGAATATCATTTCCTTCTTCATCCCTCCTCATTCGCCACCGTATAGTGTTCTCTACCTGTTAAAAAAATACATTCATTAGAAAGCCAAACTGTATAAAATTTTTTTTTCTTCCCCTTGTCCCACCACCTACCAAAGAAAAGCATAATCACAAAGCAAGAATAGGAGGATATGTGGCAAAATGTAAAAAGCACATAGGTCTTCATGCCAGGAGACACACTTCTGCCACATACTAATTAGAGCCAAGTGACCTGAGGTAAGTCACTGAGTCTCTCTTGGTCTTATTTTTTCATTTGCAAAAAAGGAGATAATGCTACCATGATCTACTGCACAGGTTTACTGTGGGGCAAAGCTCTCTGTAAACCTTAAAGGGATATGTAAATTTGTTATCATTCATACTAATAGAAAACTGCAAATTCCCATTGAATTTGTCAACTAGTAGGTGGCAAATAACTCCTCCCTATGCTGACTAGATGAGAGGAGGCAAAACCACATTCCCTAAAGCTCAGTTATTAATTTAAAACCAATCATTAATAAACAATCATCTAAATAAGAGTTTCCACTATCTGCTTTGTGTGAAGCAGGTATTTCTACCATCCTGTGGATCTACCAAAGCAGCCTCTCTGAGATGCTGTTTAACCTATCTTTACGATTCAAGTTCTACCAGCCCTTCTCATAGATACCCTCCTCCCTGCTTTTTTCCTCCCCTCAAAAGTCACTGCAACCAGACAATCAAAAGAAATGTCAAAGTAGTGGTCATTAATCTTGCCTTCCCTTTCCATACAAAAAAACTTGGAATATACGCATACAACAATACAAATAAATGAACAAAATTTACATATTAACTGACTGACCACTGTGTGAAAAATATTCTACTATGGAATTACAAAATGAATCAGATGTTGGCTTTCACATACAAAAATGATGCAACTAAACCACTGTCAGCAGGATATGCTGAATTCTTTCTTCACTAATTATACGAGATCTACCCGTGCCACTCCATTTGAAGACAAAGATGTAGCCTTTTAAATATGTATGAATACACGCCACAAGTTAGAATTTGTTGCTGAAGTTGTTTCTGTTAACTGTTTAATTCAGGACCTGCACACATTGTTTCTTATTCATTAACCAATTCACTTTATTACCAGCAGATAGTATCCAAGTTCTTATGTAAACCTAAAATTTGACTGATCTACTTTTTAATGTTATAGAGAAAAATATCAAAATTTCTTATTTTTCATGACATAACGAGGTTTTGAAGTTTTAAAAATTCTGAGTTTCATATACTCAAGAGCTCAAGATTAAAGAAAGTGCCAAGGTCTGGGAAGAAAAAAACCGGGGAAAAATGTCTTCTATTTCAAAAATGAGTGTCTCACAGGTTGTATGGTCTAACAAACCAAAAACCACACACTAAGAAATATCATGAAAAGTAGGAAAAGGAAAGGGTAAAAATGAGGAGACAAGGCAAACTCACAATAAACCTATTACAGTAGAGCAAAGACAATAAAAAAAAGGGAGAGTAGCTATGAAAAAATATGAAGAGTTAAAAACAAAATGGGGATTAGGAAAGGTAATCAACACACCAATGAAACATCATTAATATTTTATAAATCAGAAAATTAACATTATAGGCAGACATAAAAATATTCAGTGCTAGCAGGAAGATGTATGTTCTCAAGGGGAAAAAAAAAAACTAGGCCAAGAGCCAAGAAAGAATTTAAACAATGTCAGCTCATAATTGTTAGGCCTTGGATAAAAGTTACTTAACCTCTATTCATCTCCATTTTTTTTAATCCAAAAAATAAGAATATTGCTATCTGGTGTTATAAAACAAAATAATAATAATGATAATGATAATAACACATAGGAACCACATTATTATGTTATCCTTGGGCTTTGAGGCGCTTTCTAACAAAGTCCTTAACGGCATTTGAGTATTAAACCCACTTGGGCAAGATTCAGGACAACTTTGTCTCATAATGGATTCTGTTCGAAAGCCAAACAGTATAACAAAGAAGTTGCTCAATTTGTATATTCTACCTTCACTGGAACTCTCATGTGTAGCCTCTGCTCTACCTTCACTTGACAGGCAGCCTAATCAGGCCCTCATCACCTCTGGGGATGCTAATGTGCCTTCCCACTTGCAGTCTCCCCCTATTCTAATATTTCTTAACACTGTCTCCTCCGGGACAGAATACACATGCATCAGCTAGGTATGTTCGGCCTTCAGCCACCTGGCTCCACCGAGCCTTTCCTAAGCTAATCACAGAAGACTCCCCTTCATGTATTCTACGTTGCAGCCAAACTGGAGTACGAGACATTTCCTGGAACTCAACTATGTATTTGTGCAATCTATCCCCAAAGCAAACCAAATGGAGTTGATCGACACTCCAATCTACCCTTTAAATAGCTGCCAAAATGATTTTCCTAAAGCACAGATCTGACCATGTCCATCTCCTACTCAATAAACTCCAGTGGTTCCCTATTACCTCTGAGGTAAAATACTAATTCCTTTATTTGGCTTTTAAAGTATTTCACAACCTGGCCCCTACCTACCTTTCCAGCCTCATTATTTATTACTCCCCTTTCTATGCTCTGTAGTTATTCAAACTGGTCTTCTTAGTGTTTCCTATACACAGCACTTTCTGTGCCTTTACACTAACTTCCATGTCTGGAATGTCCTCTCCACACCTCCACCTCTGACTCCCTCGCTTCCTTCAAGACTCACGTAAGCACTACTATGTGAAACTTTTCCTAATCCTCCCCAAGGAGGAGCTAGTGTCCTCCCTTCCTAAACTACCTTGCTGTTCTTTTCTATGTATTCTATATGTGCACATGTATAGGTAAATGCTGTCTTCCTTGATAGACTGTAACATTCCTGAGCAGCAGGGATTACTTCACTTTTGTCATTCTCTACCTCTTAGAACCCTCTTGTAATTTCAGGTCTCAGCTCAGTCGCTAGATTTCCTCAGTTGTTAATGCCTTCTCACTTCTTAAGTTATTTTATTTACTTATCTGTGTATACACTATATCCTAGCAGTAGAATGTAAGTAAGCTCCAGGGATTCTTTGATTTTTTCTTTATAATGCCAGAACCCTACACATAATAGAAAAAGGAACCTTAAAGATGATATAGTATAACGTCTTTATTTTACAATTAAGGAAACCGCGGTCTAAGAGAGATTAAATGATTTATTCAAGATCTCAACTAGTAAATAACAGAGCTAGGATTCAAACCTAGCTCTTCTGACTTGACATCCAGCACCCTTTCCACTGACTGCACTTCCAAGGTTCAACCCAAAACCTAAGAGTAGTAAAACTCTTATTTGTTCATATTCCAAATTAGCTTAAGATAATTTACAAAAATGTATAGATTCTTTTAAAAAGTAGTATGTATAGGAAACACTACAGATTATAGGAGTGCAGTTTCAAATATCTGAGGTCTAACCCGTCAAGCTTTCAAGAGCTTCAATGTCTCCTGCCATCTAATGCCACCCCAGCCTCACAGACTAAATGTCTGAAGCAGTCTTCTATACTAAAAGGCTGATTAATTGGCACTTCTTTTTAGCGGAAGATTATCCAAGTTACACAAGGTGTTGGGTCTCAAGGCTTAGTACAGTTTTAAGCTCTATAGTTTAAACTTAACCTTAAGCTTATGGAGCTCTATAGTTTAAAACAACAATGATTTCTGGGGTACCTTGTATGATATTAGGTGTAAATAAGAACTCACAACTTAATAGAGGTTCTTTCACATGTAAATAAACCAAAAAAAAAAGCTAAAGTCAATAAAAAAAGAGAGGGCTTTAGAAACATGGCAACTACCCAAAGTATTGTGTATAGGGAGCAAATATGTTTTTGAACATAACTATGTACCATCCACAGAATCGAATTCAATTCAGTAGCAGACACTGAGCATCCACAATGTGTAAGAAAGTATACTGGATGCTATATGACAACCCAATATTTACCTATTTTAGGTAGATAGCTAGAATACATTTCTTGGGAATAGGTACTGAGGGAAAGGTCTGTCAACTAATCTATAAGAGAAGTCAAGAAATTATTACTGCAAGTAGGTGTAACAAAAGAGCCAAAAATAAGACAGAAAAATTATACATCTTCTATCAAAAGAAATTATTTTTAAAAAGGTAAGCAATTATTGATTGTATTCTGATTTACCTGCTGACAGAATATGAAACAGAAGCTCAATTTAAAAAGAAACCTCCAGTTATTCCATGTCTTATTTAATGAAAAGGATGCAAAAACTACAAAAGGGGAATATATGATACCTTAAGCTTTAACCTGGTTCTACCTTCTTCATCAAGCATCTCTTCATCTTCAAATTCATCCTCATAATACTGAGGGTCAAAAGGTCTGCAAATGGACAAAAATACAAATCAATTCAGATACATTTGGTATGTGATCAGTATTACAGGAGAATTCTTCGGCTACACACACACACACACACACACACACACACACACATATCTTCTAGGGACAACTAAGTGGAACTTCAAAATATTTTCATTACAGTAAGATTCTTACTGAAATGATACAAACTGTAATGAGATATCACGTGACCTATATTACCAATTAAAAACACACATGCACAGACACAATGTTTCAATGTTTTATTAATAAGGGGAACAAAAATAAAAACTTTTAAAATATAATTATATTACTATGTTTTCCTGTCAGTATTTTTAAGCCAGAAGATAATTCAAGATCATCTTGACTCTTGGATTTAAATGCTTTCTTATTAATTTGTTGATTATGATTTTATAGATGTGCATATCCTCTCCATTGATGCAATAAATCAACAAGTATTTATTAAGTGCTTACTGTATGTTAGGTACAATAAACTGTTGGCTTTCTCTACTTTCACATCTCATCAGATTCTAACATACAATAATCTAGGTCTTCCTCTTGCTTTCCTTTTAAATACTAATGGATTACCCAAGCTGTCTATCTGCTGGATCTTATTAAAGGAGGCCCACCTTCTTTTGTGCTTGTACATTTCTTGGTAATGACAGTTATGCTAGTTCTTACATATGGATTGCTGGTAACAAGCTAAAGTCTGAATATGTCCACCAAACATCTTTCCACCAGCCTTTGAGTCATTTATGATTTTAATTCTTCTAACATCACATTGTTCCAAGTTTGTAACTAAATAGCATAACCAAAGGGAGAGGAGTATTAAAGAAATTATTACTTCTGTGGCTTTTGTGGCAACATGAAGTTTGGGGTCACTGAAAGCACTATTCAGCTTTCAAAAAGTGACCCAGCTTCTCCTCCTCCTATCCTGGGCCTCTGGAGAGCTTGTCCAAGATAAGCATATGGAAGAACTAGCCAGTCTGCATTCCAGCTACAAAACAGAGGTCTGAGCAAGATGCATTTTTCATTTATTTTGTTTTTATAATGTGGAATATTAAAACAATCCATCTTATTTTAGATCTTTGGATTTCACTGAAGAGACTCTGAAGTGTAGAATAAAGTCATCAACTAGTGGAACATTTGGAAAAGCTTACTATAATCGATTTTTCTTTTGAACTTTACTTAAAGTTATCTTCCATAACAATAGCAAACGTGATCACACATCTCCTTGTTAAACACTTTAACTGATTAAATTTTAGACAATCAAATGAGGTGAAGGAAGAAAAAAAAAGTACTACTTCCATTTGGCTTTTTCAAACTAAAATAAACCTTTGTAGATGATAATGGGGTTATTTTATTAACAGATACTTCCATGAACTTTAGAGCCTCCAATACAAAAAGCTGAGAAATACTCAGTTTTAAAGCTACCATTTAACCCAATTAAAAGATAAACTTAAATAAATTCTGAGATACTGCTAAAAAAGTCTTCTCAACAGTCACCTCTAACTTATCTGACAAAGGGCAAAATGGATAACTCAAATAACCTTTATGTGATCATCACTGATAGATACTCCTCTAACCGTATAATGCCACTCTTATTTCTCTTGGTTAAAAGCATTATGAGTTAGAAAGAGGAAACTCTAATGGAACATGGCAAAGGACATACCGGTCCATCACTCAACATTCCTGGCAATAAGAAGAGATTACAAAACACATTTGGGTATTTGAAGGAAACTACCTGGAACAGCTCAGATAACATGAGAAAAATCATGCCTGGAACAAAACTGAAAATGCAAATATACAAACTACTAAACAGTATATATAATTCTACTCTATCCCTACATAATGAATGACATGGTTTCATATTAAAATTCCTAAATAAAGTTTTAGAAGGATTTCTCATATTCTAGTTATAAAAATATGGGAGATTTTTTTTTACAAATGTATTCAATTACATATAGTACAAAAAACACTGCTCCTACTATAAAACGTTTGTTCTGAAAGTAAAACTTTAAAAAGGAACTCCCACATACATCCTTATCTCCTTTCCTCCTATCCTGTTTTCATCGATGTCACTTTCATTCAAGTTTGAATAGAAAAACAAAAGGACTCATTTGCCTTTCCTTTTACAACTTCATTATTCATTCTAAACTATTTCAGGATGATTCCTGAAATAATTTTCCTTTGAGCTGGATCTTGACTAAGAGGAAAGATTAAAGTTAAAACTCAAAACTAAATTTAAAAATACTAACTCTTGTCAAAAAGATAATTTTGCACAATTTCACTGAAAAGCTTTGAAAAAGGCTCTTACTACCACCACCACCACACAGCCCCTCCCCGGCACCTCTGCTGATTGGTTTAAATGGTTAGAATAGGGTTAATAAGGAAAATTAGCTTCACTTTCTTCTATGATCATAGGTTGGAAAATACCTGACACTGGTCACAAGCACAAAGAGACTGTGAAAAAACTGCTAAAAACTGGAAAAAAAATTCTGAAAGAGTACCCTTCAGCAATTAAATCATATTATATTATCTTCAAATACAAATGATATGGCTATAAAGTCTCAGACTATAAGCAAATTGGGAGACCAAGAAATAGTTGACCTGTCAGATTTATGGAGAGCAGAAGAATTTATGACCAAACAAGAGATAGGGAACATCATGAAATGCAAAATGGATAATTTTGATTACATTAAATTAAAAAGTTTTTGCACAAACAAAGCCAATGTAACCGAGATTAGGAGGGAAGCAGAAAACTGGGAAAGAATTTTTACAACCAGCATCTCTGATATGGGCTTCACTTCTAAAATATATAGAGAACTAAGTCAAGTTTAAAAGAATACAAGTCATTCCCCAATTGATAAATGGTCAAAGGAGATAGACAGTTTTCAGATGAAGAAATTAAAGTTATCTATAGTCATATGAAAAATGCTCTAAATCACTACTGATTAAAGAAATGCAAATCAAAACAATTCTGAGGTACCACATCACACCTATCAGATTGGCCAACATGACAAAACAGGAAAATGATAAATGTTGGAGAGGATGTGGGAAAATTAGAACAGTAATGCATTGTTGGTGGAGTTGTGAACTGATCCAACCATTTTGGAGAGCAATTTGGAGCTATGCCCTAAGAGTTATAAAAAGGTGCATACCCTTTGACCCAGCAATAGCACTTCTAGGGCTGTATCCCAAAGAGATCATACAAATGGGAAAAGAACCCACATGTACAAAAATATTTATGGCAGCTTTTTTTGTGGTGACAAACAATTGGAAAGTGAGAGGATGCCCATCAATTGGGGAATGGCTGAACAAGTTGTGGTATATGAATGTAATGGAATACTACTGTGCTATAAGAAATGATGAACAGGCTGACTTCAGAAAAACCTGGAAAGACTTCTATGGTCTGATGCTGAGTGAAGTGAGCAGAACCAAGAGAACGTTGTACACAATAACAGCCATGTCGTGCGATGACTAATATTGATACGCTTAACACTTTCCAGCAATACAAGGATCTAAGACATCTCCATAGGCCTCATGATGGAAAATGCTATCCACATCCAAAGAAAGAACTATGAAGTTTGAATGCAGATTGAAGCATACTATTTGCTGGGTTTTTTTTTTCCTATTGTGTTTTGTTTCCTCTTTCTGGTGGTTCCTCCTATTGGTTCTAATTCTTACTTATAATATCACTAATGTGAAAATGTTTAATGGGAATGTAAATGTATAGCCTATATCAGATTCTGCACCGTCTTGGGGGAGGGTAGTGGGGAGGGAGGGAGGGGCAGAAAAATTTTAAACTCAAAAGTATATGGAAGTGATTGTTGATAAATCAAAATAAATAAATTTTTTTAAAAATGGGAAAAGGACTCACATGTACAAAAAATATTTATAGCAGCTCTTTCTGTGGTGGGAAAGAATTGGAAATTGAGGGGATGCCCATCAATTGAGGAATGGCTGAACAAGTTGTGGTACATCAATGTGATGGAATACTATTGTGCCATAAGAAATGATAAAGCAAGTAGACTTCAGAAAAACCTGGAAAGACTTATATGGACTAATGCTGAGTGAAGTGAGCAGAACCAGGAGAACATTGTACACAGTAACGGCCACCCTGTGCAATGACTAACTTTGATAGACTTAGCTCTTCTCAGCAATGCAAGGATCTAAGACATCTCCAAAAGTCTTATGATGGAAAATGCTATCCACATCCAGAGAAAGAACTATGAAGTTTGAATGTAGATCAAAAAATACTATTTGCTCTTTTTTTTCTTCTGTTTTGTTTTGTTCCCTCTTTCTGGTGGTTCCTCCTATTGTTTCTAATTCTTCTTTACAACATGGTTAATGTGAAAATATGTTTAACAGGAATGTATATGTAGAGCCTATATCAGATTACATGCCATCTTGGGGAGGGAGACAGGGAGGGAGGGGAAGAAAATTTAAAACTCAAAAGCTTATGGAAGTGATTGCTGAAAACTAAAAATAAATTAATTAAATTTTAAAAAAATACAAAGGATGATGCCCTTTGAAGTCAGTCAACAAACATTTAATAAGCACCTACTATGTGCCAAACATTGTGGGGATAACAAGGCAAACAAAAATTTACCCTAGAGGAGATCACAACTTAATAGGGGAGACAACATACAAATACAAACAAGCCATATAAAGAATAAATTATAAATAATCAACAGAGGGAAAGCATCAGAACTAAGAGAGATTGAGAAAGGCTTCCTATAAAAAGTGGGACTTGAAGGAAGCCAGGGAAGGCCAAGAGGCAGAGGTGAGGAAGGAGAGTATTCCAGGCATGGAAGGCAGCCAGCAAAAAATGTCATGTCAGATTATTTAGGTAACAACAGAGCCAGGGCCACTGGATCAAAGATTATGTGACAGAGTATAAAACTAGAAACATGGGGATAGGAGGGATGGGGGAGAAAGAGGCACGTTAGAAAGGGCTTTGAATGCCAAAGGAGTATATTGAGTAGAATCGGTAATGTAGTCAGACCTGTGCTTTAGGAAGACCCATTTGACAAGTAGGTCGAGGATGGAATGGAGTTGGGGAAAACTTGTGGCAGGCAGATCTATCAGCAGGCTATAGCAATGGTCCAGGCATGAGGTGACGAAAGCCTGCACCAGGGTGGTAGCAGTATTAGAGGACAGAAGGGGCATATGAGAGAGATATTACAAAGGCAGAATTGACAATAGATCAGACGTGGGGGGAGGGAGTTGCGCCACAGCGTCAAAGTCAGGATGCGAGGATGACATCTAAATTATGAGCCTGGGTGACTGGAATTCCTAAAATCTCCTATAGTCAAGGCTTCAAAGTTATAAATTACTTTTACTAATGTGATAAGGCAACTTAATCATTAGCTACAATGTAATAGAAATCCCCCCAGAAAATATAAAATGAGAAAAATTATCAGAATCTCAAAAGTGCTGTTCCACTGTTAGAAAATCTACAATTCAGGACATTACCTGGGTTCCACACTGAGAAAGTTGGGCAGTTTGACAAAATACAAGTCATTTCCTAAATCAGTGTTTACTTTGGGTATTTCCACTTCTATTCTGGTCTCTGGAATAGGCTCTTCTTCCTGCTGCTCCTGAGGCAACCCATTTTCATCCTAGTAAATAAATTACAGAACTGAAGGACTAAAAGGGACAGTAAAGATCATCTAGTCCAACTACACTGTTCAGATGTACATGGGAGAAAAAACAAATATACACTTTAGGAACGATGCAGTGCAAAGAAACCACTGATAGTAGTAACTTTCTGGTGCCTCAATTGCTTGCTTTTAAGAGACTTAAAAACAATGAAGATTAGGGATTTTTTTTAAATTTTTATCTTGCATAAAATATCCAAACTTAAAAATCAACAAATTATTATTTTAATGAACCCTAATTAAAATCAGCAAAAATGAGTACCACAAACTGAGAATCCAGATTTGGGCTAAAGAAATAATAGCAAAGGGGCAGCTAGGTGGCACAGTGGATAGAGCTCCGGCCCTGGAGTCAGGAGGACCTGAGTTCAAATCTGACCTCAGATATGTGATAGTTACATTTACTAGCTGTGTGACCTTGGGCAAGTCACTTAACCTCAATTGCCTCACCAAAAAGCAAAAAAAGAAAAAAAGAAAAAAAAAGAAATAATAGCAAACATTCAAGTAGTGCTTTAAAGTTTGCAATTTACTTGACAAACATTATCTCATTTGATCCTTACAATGACCAAGGAATGTATTATCCACATTTTACTGATGCAGAGCCTGAGGCTCAGAGAGGCAGATCTGACTTGCCAAGATCACAAAGCTAGCAAGTATGTGAGACAACATTCAGGTCTGCCTGACTACAAGTCATTTAGAGATATGGAGCTGCCTATTAGATTTACCGTCTCTGTCTGCATACAGCAACACGGCACTGACAGAATAGCTTTAAAATACTAAAATAGCTTCACTGTAGAATGTGATGCTCTTTCTCCTTGTGCAAACAAAATACCCTTATTTTTAACACGTAAATCTCATCTGTATTTTTTTTAATCTTTTTTATTTTTAGGCAATTGAGGTTAAGTGACTTGCCTAGGGTCACACAGCTTATAAGTGTCAAGTGTTTGGTCTGAGGCCACATTTGAACTCAGGTCCTCCTGACTTCAGGGCCGGTGCTCTATCCACTGTGCCACCTAGCTGCCCCCTATTCTTATTTCTTTTAAAAGGTATCAAGTTAATACTGCTGAAATGAATGATACCTGAAACACAGAATAAAAAGTGTCTACATACAAAATACAGCATGAGGACAAACTTCACAATGCCCCAATTCACATTTGTTTAAAAAAAAAAAAATAGAAAATATACTTGATCAAAATGCGTGCAGTAAAAGAAAAAACTGCAGACTAAGCTCCTGTGTGTACAGGCAACCTGAAAGCTTTTCCTACATGAGGCAAGATAACAACAACAATAACAAGCTGGCATTTACATTTATTTGGCACTTTAAGGTTTGCAAAGTGCTTTATAAATTTGATCTCATTTGATTCTGACAACAAAACTGAGAAATAAGTTTTATCATTATCCCCCTACTTTACAGATGTGGAAACTGAGGTAGGCAGAGATTAAGTTACTTGCCCAGTGTCACATAGCTAATAAGTGTCTGAGGTGAGATTTAAACTCAGGTCTTCCTGAATCCAGAACCAGCACTGTATCCACTGTGCCTCTCAGATGCATCATTTTCCTGGCAGAAGCCTAAGCGTGTTCCTTGGAGACCCAGAGGACCAAGTGTGAGAAAACCCCCAATCTCTCCTTCAGCCAGTCTCTTACTATTACTGTGGGTCTGTGAGGAATCTGTGCTTCTACTAGAAGATGAGAATCAAGATTCATGGCAAACTTATAGTCATGGTAGGACTCCTGACATAGAATCCTTTATAAAGATTCATATTCTTGGGGCAGCTAGTGGCACAGTGGATAGAACACTGGCCCTGGATCACATCTGGCCTCAGACACATAACACTTACTAGCCGCGTGATCCTGGGCAAGTCACTTAACCACACTGCCTAGCCCACCCCCCCAAAAAATGAAGTTTCTGCCCACAAGGAGCTCTCATTCTAACTGGGAAGAAGACATGTAATGTGAATTGAGAAAAAATGGGGAAAAAAAGGTTCATATTCTTTATGGAGTTGAATTTCAAATTTCTAAAATCATTTCCCACTTTTAAACAGTAACTGGTGAGAAACACAACACCTGTCCTTACCCAAGGTGCAGAACATCCTAATCTCTCAAAACCAGGATCCACACAGTCCGGGTCCCTGAATTTAGCACCACTTGCCACATACTTGGCAGTAAGGCCAGAACCACCCAACATCCAATAACATACAACAAAGCCCTGAAGGCCAGACACTCATTCTATGATCACAAGACAGGAAGAGAAGACTCTGGGGCTTATCTATGACCTTTTAATAAGAGTTCCAATTCAGGATAGGTATTTACTCACAATTGGCTGTCCTGGAGTGGGTGGCTTGTCTTCCCCATCACTCCCTGAAGAAATGTCATCAGCACCTCCAAATAGATCCATGGCTTCACTATTTTCTTCAGTGAGTGAAAAGAAAAAACACATCACTTTCCCATAACTAAAGTCATATGGAACACAGCTCATATGAATGGATATGTGTACGTGTTATAAAATGCCCCCTGATACATACAAAACTGTGTCCAAACCATATGAGGATCCCTTAGATTTTTACAAAGGTTGTCATGGAGCCAGCTCACTAAAGCTGGCTTATTCAGTCAAGTCAACAAACATCTATTAAGCACCTACTATGTGCCAGGCACCATGCCAATATCTGGGAACACAAAGGAAAAAAATGGTGCCTACTCTCAAGGAGCTCACCATTCAAGGGAGATATCCAGGGACCTGACAACAGTTAAATGATAGTCCTATTTAGCCTCAATAAAGAGAAGAAAGGCCAGGTGGGCGGCAAACCCATGTTTGCAGAGAGCTTTGAAGTTAAAAGAGCACTTAATTCACAATAATCCTACAAAGTAGATGGCACTAGTATTAGCTCCATAATTTACAGATGAAAAAACTGAGGCTCAGCAAAGTTACAATTTACCTATACTCACCTATATGACCACATTTATCATCTCATGTAGTCTTTACAACAACTCTTTGAGTTGGATATGGCAGATATCATTCCTATTTTTCAAAAGGAGAAGTAACAAGACTAGTAAGTGAGGGAATCAGTACTCTTGACAAAGTCTTGTGACTCTTTGTCCCAAGCTCTTTCCATCATACCATGCTGTACGATGCCGGCTCCACTCCTAATTAAAGGCTGTCAGTTCACAGTAGCACTGCATGCTAACAGATTTCCTCACACTCCTTCAACTGGTGACGTCACAGAGCAGCTGAACTTTCAGTCAATCAATCAACAAGAATTTAAGGGTCTACTATGGGCCAACCACTAGTCTAAGCACTAGCAACACAAAAACAAAAGTGAAAACAGTCCTTTCCCCACCAAGAGGCTTACATTCTAATGTGGGAAATATGTGCACATACTTTACACACATATAAAAAATATATGGGGGCAGCTAGGTGGTGCAGTGGATAAAGCACTGGCCCTGGAGTCAGGAGGAACTGAGTTCAAATCCAGATTCAAACACCTAACACTTACTAGCTGTGTGACCCTGTCACTTAACCTCACTACCTAGCAAAAAGAAAAAGAAAAAAAAAAGAATATAGGCAAAATTAATACAAGGCAGTTTTGGGAGAGGAAGGAGCATCCAGAGTAAGCCTAGCTTCTTAAATTATGTCAATTAACATATTAATCAAAATTCTTTAGGGTTAGTTTGACATCTTGAGTAAAGCACTGAGAGAGTATTATAGTTTTTAAAATAGAAACAAAGATTACCTTTTTGTCCTTCTTCATTATCACTATCCGCTTCTGAATCAGAGGCTATTGCTTTCTTTCGCTTCATCCGTAAAACTTCATCCTCACTATCACTTCCTCTTGCAGATTCTACAGAAAGTACAATTAGGACTTCACCATAAAAATAACTTCTCAGTTTTAAACTAAATAACTTAAAAAACTTAGATTAGCATTTTAATTACGATGAGATTTAAAGGAAGGAAAATAACGACTGCCCCTACTTATGAGCAAGGTGATATACAAGAGGTTAATTTCATTCTAATACCACTTTCCCAGAGCTACTTATTTATGCCAGAGGAGTACTTCTATACTCCAAATAATACGTGATTTAATGTATATGTTTCTTTTTTCCACTGGCGTCCTTGGGTAGGTGGTAATGTACCAATGTAAATAAATGTAAATAATAACCCTTCATGAGATGCAGAGGGGCAAATGTCTGATGAAGAGTCCTTCTAGACGAGGCCTGCACAACCTGTGGCCCCACTTACAGCCCTCGGACATGCCAAAGGATTTTGGGTGGCCCACGAAAAATGTAGAGGAAAACATCTTCTACATTTTTTAAGGGCCACCCAAAATCCTTCGGTGGGTCACAAGTTGCCCATGGACAGCAGGTTGTGCAGCCTGCTCTAGATTTAGCAAGGCTGAAAGATGACAGTCCTTTATCAGGCCCACAAACAAAGCTTCTTCATCTTGGTTGGACTAGTCGGAGCTTATGCTCTAGCGACAAAACTTTCGAGAAATCAGGGGCCACCTCCACACAAAAATACCAACCCCAATCTCAAAAAAATAAGACTTTAGAAGGGTCATTTAATTAATTTTTATCTCTGATGGGAAAAGTGGGCTAGCAAATGATTGCTATTAGTAAGTCAATTTTAATGCCAGAATGACCAGAATTTAAGAATACCTCAAAGGATCACAACTGTTAGTGTGTTTACTGTTAGTATCCATACGATAAAGAAAATAGAGACAGTAAGATGAAATTTTTTTTACTTCAAAATAAAAATCATACTATTTTTGTGTCAACTGACATACCTAGTCCTTCTAGTGTTAAAATGTTTTATTTGCAGAATATTTAAGATGAAAACTTTTTAGTACAAATAACCATAACAATAAAACATTCCTTTTCCTTTTAGTTAATTTCTGATAAATGTGAATTGTCCACTCCATCCACCCAAGGAATCCAATGGAAAAAAGAAAGAAAAGAAAGGCCTTCAAATAAAGTATTTATAGCAGCACAATCACAGCAGCAAAGAAATGGAAACAAAGTACATAGCCATCAATCAGGAAATGGTTAAACAAGGTGTGGCATAGGAATATAATGGAACATTACTGCATTATTTTAAAAAATATATAAATACAATAAAGTAGAACAGGAGAAGATGTATGAACTGAAACAAGGTAAGTAGCAAGACCATGAAAATAACATCCATGAGGACTACAACGATGTGAATTAAAGGAACAACAAAACAATCAAAACTGAACGCTGTGACATTATCATGACTAAGCTCGGCCCAAGGAAAGACCTATAAGAACGCATCTCCCCCTCCTTTATTTGTAAAGACAGGAAATTATAAATGTAGAATATCATATAATGCTGGACTCAGTTTTGCTGAATTTTTTTCTTTTTTAAAAAATTCTGTATTTTAAGGCTCTCTGGAAGGAGAAATGGGAGAGACAACTAAAGAAATGGTGGTATAAAAACAAAACAGCAAAATAAAAATATTAAAATATATGTATTGCTTTCTTTTCGCATCTGTTTATGTTTGCATAAACTGTAGATAACTCAACTAAAACTTGTCTTCTTATCTAAAATACAAATAGCACAAAATCATATAATTTCCTTATTTAAAAAAAACTATTCCTTGAACAAAAAAAAAAGTCCTTTTTATGAAGGTTTATTCACTATAGTTACAGGACATTTGACAACAGCTCTAAAATACAGCTAAGTAACAACGGATAGAGCTCTGTACCTGGAATCAGGAAAACCTGAGTTCAAATCCAGCCCTAGCCACTTAATAGTTATATGATCCTGGGCAAGTCACTTAACCTATTGTCTCAGTTTTCTCATTGCTAAAAGAGTAATAATAATGGCACCCACCTCTCAGGGAAGTGGTGAGGATAAAATAACATAATAGTTGTAAAGCACTTAGCACAGTGCCTGGCATATAATAAATGCTTAATTCCTTTCTTGATGTCCTTTCTTTATAATAGTGTTTAAAATGGGCCTTAACTGTAAAGCATATTACATCCTCAATCGGCAAACAGTACTGAATAAAGAAAATAGTATCATATTTACTTCAAGTATTGTTCTTCAATTAATTACTTTCACTTTCAGATCAAGAAGGTACCACCTTTTAATGATGTTAATCATGGCATTAATCAACTTCCCCTAGAACACATTCAGTTGATATTTACTATGCAAGCCATCTCTTCAATGAACACTACCAGCTAACTCAGACAGCTTTATGAGCATCTCTTTCAAATCTGTCTCTCTGCAATCTTATGTGTTCATCTACGGAAATGGAACAAATGCCATTTCACAGCTACTTCCCTATTAAAAATCTCCTCCCAACACTTATTTATTTTAAGGACTTCTTTCTACTGCATCAGATCATTCATTAACAAATGGGAAAAAAGAATGAAGTATTAAAAGGTACTAGAAGAAAAATAAGAAGACCAGATTAGAGAAGGCAAGGGTAAAGAATCTGAGAAGAAAAACCAGGGCCAGCAAGACAGTCCACAGTGTACATTATTATACTTCTAATTAACATTCTATACATAACAAATACTACACACACCTGACTTATGGTCTTGTTCCTCTTCATCATCTGACCGCCTATGCTCTTCATCAGAGACCTGCGGTCTTTCATCATCAGAATTTTGCATTTTCTCCTCATCAGAGACCTGTGGCCTTTCTTCATCATCAGAATTCTGTAGCTTATCGTCATCGTTGTCAGAGGCTGCTGGTCGTTCATCATCAGAATTGGCCATTTTCTCTTCCTCAGACAGCTGCAGTCTCTCATCATCTGAATTCTGAGGCCTCTCGTCATCATCTGTGTTCTGCATTTTATCATCATCATCAGAATTCTGCAGTTTATCTTCATCAGAAATTTGTGGCCTCTCGTCATCAGAGTTTTGTATTTTCTCATCATCTGACTGATCACTTTTATCTTCTCTGTCCCACTTCTCAGAACCTTCAGCCTCTGACTGATGGCTCCCTCCATCTGACCTATGGTCTCCATCTTCATCCTCATGAGGAGCTTCTGATCCACTGTGCTGATCAATATCTGACTGGTCATTTTCTTCATGGTCAGAATGCCCAGAAACCTCCGATCGATTGTCTGATCTTTCAGAGTGATTATCACTGCCACTATGATGAGAAAGTCCCTCATCTTCACTGTCATCTCCAAACAGCTCCTTATTACTTGGCTTTACCGAATCTTCTCTATCATCCCCTTCACTGTCACTTCCAGAGGGATTACTACCAGAGGCAGCATTCTCATGATCAGAATCAGATCCAGAATCAGAATCAGAATCTAAGAAATAAAGAAATTATATACATATTATTCTGCCAACAAACATAAGCAAATCTAAACATTGATATTGATTCAAATACTTTTTCCTCTTTTTATGAGTACCAAAATGTATATAAGTTGTTGGGGCAGAGCCAAGATGAAATAACAAGGGAAAAAAAAGGCACAGTGAGCTCCATCCCCTCTCCAAATAAAAACTTCTCCAAACAAATCTAGAAAATATACCAGACCAAATCTTGATTGGGAGATCCAAGAAAAAGAGATTAGAGTGAATCATCTCAGGACAGCACAGGGAGACAGACTGAGAGTTCTTTTCTACTTTCCACAGGTAAAACCAAGCACAGAAGGCATGCTGTGGTGACATATGGTTACAGACTTCAGAAAAGGCTGGGTTATAGCGGGAGCAGAACACTCCAGCTCAGGAAAGGCTGCGCAATAGGGAGGAGAAGGTCCTAAACCCAAAACGGAAACTTCTGTAGGATATAGGAACATGTGTCAATTGGCAATTCTGTCACTTATTATCCAGTTTAGGGTTACAGATCCAGGACAAACTGAGGGGACATGCAACTAGATTCTGGGGTCCAGTGTGAGAAACAGTCATTGGACCTAGATTGTGAACTGAGCAAGAAGTAGCAAGTTCAGAAACAAGCAATGGCTGTATGGTGGAAGCAGACCCAGGTCTCAGTTCCAGCTCCTAGCCCAGTACAAAGCCTGAAAAAGAAAAACCAGGGCAGGAATCCCAAACTAAAGGGAAGCTGAAAGCTCTGTCACTGTGAAATGGCATAGCTTTCCACTGGCAAACAGTGGCTATTTGATTCACTCTGTCTTTTCATGGGTTCTGCTGCTTTAGAATTTCTTTAGAGCCATTTTTTACAGGTATTTGGAGGGTATGGGGGAGAGCTCAAGCAAGTCACTGCTTTCACTCCGCCATCTTGGCTCCTCTGGATAGTGGCTATTTGAGTCCTGCAGTAATCTAATGAAACCCCAAACGTGGCAAGCCCACAGGTCTATTGCTCAGACCCAAACCCAGGACAGGAACTTAAAGAGCCCAGACCAAGAAAGCAGTGATCAGGTTTTTCTCTGCATCATACCAATTTAGGGGCACTGAATAACTGCAGGTCCCCAGCTTGAGTTGTCCCTGAGATCCTGGGCTATCACAATATTCAATACCCCAAGAAAACAGCAGCAGTACCAGCCAGATATTCCCTTCAGAAGTGCACTGAACCTGGTGCTAATATAAAGCCCGAAGTCAGGAAGTAGGCTGGGAAAATAAGCAATAGGCGGCACAGGGGATAAAGCACCAGCCCTGGTTCAGGAGGACCTGAGCTCAAAACCAGCCTCAGATACATAACACTTACTAGCTGTGTGACCCTGGGAAAGTCAGTTAACCTCATTCCCTAGCCAAAAAAAAAAATTTAAAAAGTAAGAAAAAAAGATAAGAAAATAAGCAAGCGAACAAAAAAAGAATCCTGCTACAAAAGACTATTATGGTGATAGGGACTCTAAAGACACAAACCCAAAAGAAGAGGACTCCAAAACATCTACAAACAAAACTTCAAAGTAAAACACAAATAAGGAAATGAAGCAAGAGGTTTTTTTAAAAATTCAGGGTTTTTTTATAAATTAAATGAGAACACTAGAAGAAAAAAATGGGAAAAAATAAGTTATGCCCAAGTAACAAATTCCCTGAAAATTAGAATGAAACAAACAGGAGCTAATGACTCTATGAGACAACACGAATTATGACAAAAATCGAAAGACTGAAAAAAAAAAAGTAAGGTACAGTCAATTCTCAACAAGGAAGATCAAGCGTTTATATAATTTTATTAGCAATCTCATTTTTACTTTACTGTTAGCTGTGTGCAGTAGAGGCCCCCCAAAAATGAGAGGCCCAAGAAGTACTAGCTTGTGGTGCAGCTGGTCACCCTATCACTGCAAAGGGCTCCCTGTGCATTCTATGTATATTTTCATTGTTTGCTGATCCCATCATTGGTAGAAGCCTCAAGGTTAAAAGTCAGCCCACCTCTGCTAAACTCCCATACTCCAAGATCCATAAGAATCTCAAATGGCTCACAAAGCAGATGTTAAGGATGGATTATTTCAAGCAGGTGCATCCTTCACAATCTCCAACGTCAGCCAGGAGACAGTGTCAGAGGTGATGTCGAGGGCATTTTCTGAGTCCACTAAAATCCCAGCAACCCTTCCCTTGGTTTTCACAGGGCAACCAAAGTAGAGAGGTCTACAGCAGCATAGTAGTATACAGTAAAATGACCTGATGCCACCATCTGACACAGTGGAAGGTAAGATTCAGGTTACAAAACGTTTTAATTTTGAGAATTTTATTTGCTATACGATATTTATGATACTATAGATTTCAGGTGTTATGAAAAGTGTATATAGTCTGAAATAAATTTTTTTAATTGAGATGTTAGCACAAAAGATCACAGAATTCTAGGGAATTACTAGCAAGAAAAATGTTCTACATGTTACCAATTTTATTTTGTGTACTGCATTTTATGGCTTATTTCATGGTTACTATGTAAGGAAAAATACATATTGTTAGAATTAATGGTTTATTACAAAGAACTGTATAGAGAAAAGTGCCTTTTTAGCAATCTTTAGCAAAAGATTATAAAATATCTTATTTGATCTTCTCAATAACTATTCATCACTAGCAGACTGGTCACCAAGTGAATTTTTTGGCCCTTGGGACACAGCAAACAGATAAAAGTCCATTGTGAAACAGATGAGTAGGACAGTTTTGAAAGCAATGTGTTGAATTTATTATATGCATTTAAAAAAAAAACAGGCTGTATATAAGAGAATTTTACTTCTATACATAATCCTCTTTTTCTATTCTACTTTGTATATGGAAATGTTCCTTTTTTTCGAACTGCTTAAGTTCAGAATGAAAATTTTTTCAAAAAAGTAAAAACAAATAAATAGTTCTTAGTCCTGTATGGTACTACCTATTGTAGTGAAGCAACAGGCTGGCAGAAAAATGGGCAGAGTGTTAATAATCCTGACTTTTAGATTGTTATAAACATTTAACTATTCAAACTTTACATATGAGATCTCTGTCCAATGAAATACTTGTTAATTGACTGATTAAACTGATATACAACTGTAAGAAGAATTGAATTACATCAATATTAAAAATGACACAATTAATATAAGTTATAAAGAAGTTGAAATTAAATCTAAGGCTAGCTCACAGGTTCATCTTAAAGAGTTCAATACAGTACTGTAATTAGTGGAGCTAGTTTCATCCTGATCTAAAAGTAACCAAAAAAACCCTGTTTTTCATGGGAGGCATTTGTCTCTTACAAAGAAGTGATCATCATAGGCATAAGTACAAAAGCCACAATAAACATAACTGTAGCTTATGTACCAATAACTGGTGATAAGAAAAATAGAGCATTTCTATGCAGAACAAGTAAACCAATCAACAAACATTTTTAAGCACCTACTATGTGACCAGCACCATGCCAGGTGTTAGAGAGACAACGAATGACAGTCCCTACTTTCAAAGAGCTTACAATCCATCAAGGAAGATAGTGTGTGTGTGTGTGTGTGTGTGTGTGTGTGTGTGAGAGAGAGAGAGTGAGTGTGTGTGTGGTGTGTGTGTGTGTGTGTGTGTGTGTGTTAAAACACACAGTTGTTATAACAACATAATTAGAGAGGAAGGGGTCTAGCATTTAGGAAAATCAAGAAAGGCTTCATGTAGAAGGCAGCACCTGAACTGCATCTTTAAAGAGGAGCAGGATTGTTTCTATGAAGCAGAGATGAAGAAGGAGGACATTTCTGGCACGGGAAATGGTCAGTGCAAAAGATGAGAGATGGAGTCCTACATAAAGAACAAAGGGAAGGCCAGTCTGACCAGATTCCAATGTGGGAAGGAAAGTAATGTATAATATGACTGGAAAGATAGTACAAAGACAAAATGTACAGAGCTTTAAAAGCAGCATCAAAGAGTTTATATTTTACCCTAGAGGAAAAAGAAGCTACAGGAGTTTGAGTAGGGTAGTGATATGGTCAGAGCCATACCTAAGAAAAATCACTTTGGCAGCTATGTGGAGGATGTCCTAAGATGGTAAGAGAATTGAGACAGAGAATAATCAGAATGTCAATGCAACAGTCAAGGGCAAGAAATGCTATGGGCTTTAACTAAGGTGGTGATTTTATGAGCACGGAGAAGGAATAGCGTGCAAGAGGTACCGTGTAGGGAGACATGGCATGATGCGGCAACTGAACTAAATGGGTTAAGGGAGAGTAAGGAGATAGATACTGCCAAGGCTACACAGCTGAAGGACTGCCATCAACAGACATACAGACGCCCGGAGTGACAGGTTTGAAGAGGGAAAATGGCGAGCTTTGGACATGGTGAGTTTGAGAAACCTCCATGACATTCAGCCTGAAATGTCCAAAAGGCAGCAGGTGATGCAACACTGAAGCTCAAGGGTGAGACTGGGGCTTCTGTATAGAGAGATCTATGAGTTATCTGCATAGATTATTAAACTCACGGGGAACAAAAGACACCAACCAACCAGTCAGCAACGTTAAACACGTCACAGAAGTCCTCTAGATAGCTGAGGACTCATAAAAAGAAAATAATATATAGTAACTTCAGTTGAGCGATGGCATCATAAGCTAGACTGCAAAGGGCTGAGGAATGAGTAAAAGGAGAGGAATTGGCGGCAATAAACGTTGCCAGCTTTTTCTAGGAGTTTGTCTGAATAAAGGAGTGAATGAATGAACTTACTACTTTTGAAGCACTGTGCTAAGTACTGGGGATACAAAAATGAAAAGAGAGACCCGGCTCTCAAGGAGCTCACATTCTATTGGGGGAACAACATATACGGAAGGTTTCAGGTGCAAGTCAGACGGAAAGGTTCCATAGTCCTTAGGGCTCAGCAGCAAAGCAGATGGTAACACCTATACTTCAATGTCATTTCTGCTGCCAAAACAGTCTCCATTTCTGATGCTCAACCATTTGACAGGGC